AACGAAAGAGAAGGACAGGAGAAATAAGCGATACACTCTGAGAGAAAGTGGAGGAAGAGGATCCAGTAGATATAGGGAGAGAAGAAAAGGCACTACTAATCCATTTTTCACCATAAATCTATCATATCTGAGAGCTGTAAATAAGCATTTAAGGCATTCGTGCTCAGTTTGTTTTAGCTTTGGAGTTTTACCAATAATTCTCATCTTTCTTTTTTCAGATTATTTCTTTTTAATGATATCAATGTACTCAAAATAACTGATTAAATACAAGCTGTGCAAAATGCTAACTGGGGTTTTAAGCAAGCTAACAAGACACTTATGGTTCCATGAAGAACCTATAATGTCCATGGGAACTTTTCAATGTAAAAAAGGTTCTTCATACTGGGAAAAAGGTTCTTTGGGTTATTAAATGTTATTCAAACTAAGAAAAATCTTTATTTTTTTAGATTGTTGAAGTCACAATAACAAGAAATGTTAGAAACCGGTAAAAAATAGCTTCTTTTTATGATAAATTTCAATTGAGAGAGCAAGTTTTCATAATTTCTACAACTAACTACTTTGTTGTAGAAATACTGTACTTTGTTGAACATTTAAGTGAACTTTAATTCAAAAACTTTTTATTTAAAGCAACATCACAATTTGTATTGTTTCTGAAGAGTTAAAAACTAGTTATCTGATTTAAGAGACTAATATTGTTTCTACTGAGAATGGGAAATAAATGAGGGTTTAGTAAGATTATTTATAGATAAATACTTTTATTTAGCATTGACACATTAACCTGATCAAAAGGTAAACACATATAATGTTACAAAATAATAAAATTTTAAATAAATGATGTTCTTTTGAACTTTTTATTCATCAAACAATCGTGGAAAAAGGCATCACGGTTTCCACAAATATTTTGCCTTTATTGATTATAAGAAATGTTTCTTGAGCGCCAAATCAGCATATTAGAAGGATTGTGTACATGAATATAAAAAAGTACACGCATACTGTGTATATTACATATAAGTGAATATAAGTGATGGGGGGCAGGAAGGGTGGGATGACTATGTTGGAAGGAGGGAGGGGTATTATTAAGCATTTTTTTTGTTGTTTCTTAAGGTAAAAAACGAAACTGGAGAACTATTCCACTTCTTGTCAAATGTAACATGCTTCATCCTCCAATAAAAGATTTATACAAAAGAATAGGGATACGTGAACATGAAATTATATATGAGAATATTGCCTTCAAAGTAATTAAAATGTGACATCAAGACAGAATAAAAACACAATAGTTGAAGGTAAATGAAATGGGATTATCTAAAGTGCATGTCTGGAGCTTTGTTCCTACTCCTAACCTTCAGCATGCTCATGGATGGGATCGTTGGCATGGTTACCTCTTCTCTGTCAACTCTGCGCCACAGCGTATACACCGTGTCAGGTTGTTTAGGGAAGATGCTCGTGAAAGCGAGGGGGATGACTTATGGACGGAGAAGAAAATAGGGATGGGGTCTCCCCAGCGAGAGAGATGGGTTGCAAGGTCATATATGCTTGTCAGAAGTGGGGGAAACATGGGGGATTCAGTCGGAGGGAAATACGAGACAAGGTTACGGATCTTGCTCTGAAGAGAGGGGACCCGACAAGACCCTACGAGTCACTGTGGCAACCGGGGAGAGCTTCGACAGAGACGCCCGTGTGACAGACTGGAGACACGACAAGGGACATGTTGTTGTTTTGGCTTGGGTTTGTTTTGTTGTGTTCAGGGAGTTGATACAAGGGTTGGCGAACAATCCTTCATCGTAGACCTTTTGTTTTTTTATACCAGTCTATTTGTCTTTTTGCACAAGAGATTTTCCACTATATCACTTGTTACCTTTCACTTGATATTGAAGATAAACAAGCACATATGTTACCTACACTTTGATGAGACATTAAGAGGGAATTGAATTACTGAGTAGCTTTATTAGAACTGAAATCCCTTACAATTTAGCTTGGTAAGCCACATTTGCGAAGAGAACAGTTGGTGATTAAACTATTTTTCATTCTTTTACATGTTACACTAAGATAAGTTTTCATTCATGTGCCTGTGTTACTTGTTTGTCCCTTGTCCATTTCATTGGTTGCTACAAATTAGTCTCATTTAGTTGCCTTTGTGTATACTCCCTGTTTTGTTCAGTTCTTTGTCGGTCATCGAATTAGGCTGAATATATGTATATGTATATTAATCTGGATACACTTGAAAACTGTTTTCATTACAAAATTACATTACAAAATGCTCCCTGTCCACACTAGCGTTTGCAGGCATTTTATAAAAGTTTCTCATCCACACTGAAACAAAAATTCAAATTGCTGCGCATGAGAAAAAGCTCACTGAGATGATTCAGATGGAAGAGACTTAATAAAGTTCTCATGCTATTCTTCTGGCAGGATCATTTTATTAAGCAAAATATCTCCCCATTCACTGATGTTTCCAGGTCGCACTCACTCACCAATACTGTATGTTTGGTCTAAAACGCAACCGCTCTCATGTTTTGGCCCAGGACAGCAATTGTGAGTACATTTTCTGAGTAACAGATCTTTAGCCACTGGGTGAAATTGAATTGCACATAACAGGCACAATAGAGCTATAAACATGCATATCCATCGGTTCAATATGCGTCACATGACTAAACATGCGTAATCGTTTTCAAATACCTCCGTTTTCACAGTCCACACTACAATGCAACGCGTTTTCAAAAAGCTTAGGCTAGTTTTCCGAGGACAAAAACGCCATCTCGGTGAAAATTGGAAAGCCAAAACACAGAGAAAAAGATTTTTTTCCAACAAAAACGTAGTGTGGACAATGCCTTAGTATATTGTATGTGTGTCTAAGTCGTTTCTCTCCCGAGATTCTCTAGTGTGTTCTGTTAGCTTAACAAAGACAGTCATTCGTGTTTGATTGCCACAGAGCTGTGACAGAATGACCAACCCTCAAAAAGAGTATTATAATATGGATTCTCTATTCCAAAACGGTTGTTCTTTTGGAGGGGATAGCAGAGGGGATCCTGGATTTGTACCATGAGGCACGGTGGGATGATGAAACTCTGATGTTCATAATTTGGAGTGGGTTGGATGACATGGGTGTGTGGATCCTCCTTCACAGTGTAAGTTGTTGATGACACCATCAACTTAGACTCCTGCACGCCTGTACCATCACCAGAAGCCATCTCCTTGCCTGGTCCTGCTAGCCCGGAGAGCCATGGAACTCAAGGACGATCTTCTGCCCTGGACCCAGCGACAATGCCTGAACTTACCAAGGAACCGGAGCCCAAGCCAGTGCTAGCTATGGACCATGGGCTTGAGCCACCTGCATCCATGGAGCTACTGTAGAGTCAGCAATCTCATTCATTCCAAAGCCAGAGCTAGATGCAATGTCCATCCCGTGGCCGGAGCCCATCGTCAGATCAACCCCAGAGATGGTGGTGTTGAGACAATCCACACCTGATCCAGTCAAGGAGCTCATTGATTTTTTACCGTTATTCCCACCCCTGAACTTGCAATCCTCAGTCTGCTCCAAATAAACAGGTTGACGACTCCTTTAAACTCTCCCTCTCTTTACCACTAGCACGGCTCTGTAAGGTGGGTCCCAGGTCTCCACCGCGGACCGTCAGCACTTCAGTTCTGCCTTGGCTCTGTGCTCCCTCAACTCTACCATGGTCCGCAGTGTGCAGTAGTGAATTTGCATTATTTGTAAGGATGGAAGTTATCTTAAAGATATGCACAAATGCATTCTAGCTAATATGATAAGGCATTTTTTTGTTTTTTCTTCAAAAAAAAATAAAACTCTTAAGTAAATTAAACAGTTTCTGTTAGTATGCAAGTTAATTTAGATACCAGTGACATTTATAAAGTAACATTACTAAAGGTTGCACAACTTTTAGCAAGAAATGATTATCTATCATATTTTTTATGTAAAAAGCTCTGATACTGTCACATGTGCACAACAACCACCATGTGCTCTTAAAGTGAAGGCACTCTTCAAAAGATAGTTCTTTTAACTCTTTACCCACCGTTGACGGAAATGTATGCCTTTCTGTATTTTCACTGTTATATGGTAGGGGGCGTTATTATGCTTCTTCTGAATCTACTAATAAAAAGCAGCAGATGCAAACCTTATTAGTAAAATAATGCGATCGATCATCAACATTAAACGCCATATACTGTAAATCAAAACTGATTAATGTTTGGGGGGCTTGGGGGGCGTTGATGGCCTTGACCTACTCAATCTATATGTTTTGATAATCATTCTGAATCCGATCCAGATGTAATCTTTTGACAAAAATCTTTTTTGCTCAAAACATTTTTTTATTGAACTATACCCACATTCAAGAGTTGATAAAGTAATGCAAGAAGCTAGAATAAAACATGTTTGTTTTTGTATTTTTTTTTTTTTAAGCAGAGGGTTTAATGGGTTTAGGGTAGATATTCAAATTCATGTTCAGATATTATGTTCAAATTCAGATATTCATACAACAAAATATTGTGGTGGCCATGAAACTTTTGTGAAAATGGCCAAAAATGCTGGTGGTGGCTGGCAACTTTTTTTTTTTTTTTTTTTAAACGCTGGTGGCGAAAGAATTAATAAGTTAAATTTAGCTATAAAACAATGTCCCTTTAAGATAAAAATGTTTAATATATTTAATTATTTCTGACTGTTTTAAAAGATCATTTAGCAGCCAATACTGCAACTTTACTGCAATACTGCATCTGTTGGTGCATTCGTCATCGAGGATGTTTCATTTCAGGAAAGTGGCCATTATAAAATTGATTGTCATTCCTAATGAGCCATAAATTGCTGTAATTTATTTCGTACTTTAGATTGTAATGGTTATTTTTTCTGAAATGAGGCAGCCTCAATGATGCATGCAGCTAAAAAATTGTGTACTCCAGAGGGGGCGCAGCCTTGAAATACTGCAGGGTGTCAAGCAATTTCGACTACAATTCTCTATTCATCAATGACTAAACGGATCAACCCAAAAATACGATTCAAAATTGTTAAATGTGTTCCAATGACAACACCAAAACCATTTACCATTGACTATAGCCCTTAAACTTTAAAGGGATAGTTCACTTTGAAAATAATTTTTGATATGTTTTAGCTTACCTCAAGGGCATCCAAGATGTAGGTGACTTTGTTTTCACAGTATTTTCAATTTTGACATTTTTCGGTCAAACCGGTGTTGTCTGTCAGTCATATAATGCAGGTTTAGGGGGTCCACGTCAAAGAGCATGCACAGAGAAGTCAAAATTAAACATGATTTAATGACTTGTAAATGTAAGTACACATTGATGGCCTAAGACACGAAACGAGCGATTTGTGTGAGAAAACGAACAGTATTTATATCGTTTTTACCTCGTGTAATCACATTCACATCCAGGTGATCTGAATCAGTTGTGCAATGCCCAACTGAATCATGTTCAATGTTCCGCCGGAAGTGATCGCTTGCGTCTGTCATTCAATATTTACACAGAGAAGTTTTACCTTTCACTAAACATATTTAGATAGACCGAAATCGTCTTCCATTGCGATTTCCTGTATCTAAATATGTTTAGATCTTCACAGTGAAAGGTAAAACTTCTGAAATCTCTGTGTAAACAATGAGTGACGTCGACGCTTCCGGCAAAACGTCAGGCATGGTTCTTGGTCGTGACTGTGATTATACGAGGTAAAAACTATATAAATACTGTTCGTTTTCTCACACAAACCGCTCGTTTCGTGTCTTAGGCCATCAATGTGTACTTACATTTACGAGTCATTAAATCATGTTTAATTTTGACTTCTCTGTGCATGCTCTTTGAGATGGACCCACTAAACCTGCATTGACTGACAGACAAGAACGGTTTGACCGAAAAATGTCAGAATTGAAAATGTCAGAATTGAAAAACACCTACATCTTGGATGCCCTTGAGGTAAGCTAAAACATATGAAAAATTAATTTCAAAGTGAACTATCCCTTTAACCATTAAAAAAAAAAAAACATAACAAAAATATATATTTTTTTTATTTTAATAAGAAATAGATGCGTATTTTTCATTTAATTTCAAATCATGTCGGATGAAGAAAACATTTGTTCAAGTTAGTATTATTTAAAGCTACATGCATCCATGTAAACGGTATTCAAAGCCATTTGTGTTTGTGAATATGAATATCCAATAATGAGAAAATCCGTGTGTATTTCTGTGATTCTGAAGTGGCATGTGGATTAAAAAAATAGCTAAAAGAAAGGAGGCCGAGGGAGTCTCCAGGAGAATGAATGAATTAGTCAAGGGTCAGCGATGATTCTCATTAAAAACAAATTACTGATGTTGAGAAGGGACAGCTGTGTGACTGGGGTCTAATAGTCCAGCCACTCCTGCTGAAGACTCAAAGCTAGTCCACCCGCCCCACACTCTGCCAACCACCCAACAACACCCCCACCCTTCTCCATCCCAAAACCCCCTGGGAGTGCTGTCAACCTGGCAGATGGGGGGAGACAGGAAGTGGCAAAGACAAGACCCCCTCCCACTGGGACCTCAACTGAAATAAAGCAGAGGTGAAGAGGGGGTATTGGGAGAGTGACTACAGCAGGAAGAGCGAGAGAGGGTGAGAGAGAAGGAATGAGGGTGGCACATGTATGAAAATTAGCTATCTATTAGTTTTGTCATCAATCCCTTCTTCAGCAATATGCCTCAATCCACTATGATGGGAAAAACTTCTCTGTCTGTACACTACAATCAGAAGTTTGGAATAATTAAGATTTGTTAATGTTGTTAAAGGAGCCATCTTAAAAAATAGTCTCGATAAGTCAAACCACGAACGTCGTGCTGAGTGATCTGAACTGTGTGAAGTTCAGCGAACTTCTGAACTGTATGATCGGCGTTCGGGGATCGACTTATCGAGACTATTTTTTAAGATGGCGCCGTCTGTATACGCGAAGTGAACTGTCTTCATAAAGTATCTTCTTATTAAACGGTCTGTACACTTACAAAGTTCTCAATGCTTCGTTTTGCATGTATGGAACCTCATTATGTTACTGTGTTAGTGTGGGGCTATTTTGAGCCTTGTTAGTGGTATAAACTAGCGATTTCTTTTTACTTACTCAATGCCCCCATTACTAGCATTATACGCTAAACAGTTTTTAGAGATAAAACTCTTTACATTCGATTATCATGAAAACAAATCTCAGAGAACGGTTGACTATGTACCGATGTTTTATTAGACCAAAGGTTCATTGTTCGCCGGAGTTCTCCTTTAAGAGTCTCTTATGCTCTCCAAGGCTAAATTTATTTGATCATTTATACAATAAAAAAGTATTATTTTGAAAGTTTATTAAAATTTAAAATAATTGTTTTCTATTTGAATATATTTTGAAATGCATAATTACTCCAGTCTTCAGTGTCACATGATCCTTAACGTGCTGATTTGGTGCTCACAAAAACTAACAGTTCAATAATTAACGTTTTTGTTGCTTAATATATTTTTGTGGAAATCCTGATATGCACTACCTTTCAAATTGATATTTTATTCAGCAAGGATGCTTCAAATTTAAATTCTTTTTTTTTTTCATATAAATGCTGTTCTTTTCAATTTTCTTTCATCAAAAATTCCCAAAAAAATTGTTTTCCACAAAAGAAGATTAAACTGTTTTTAACATCGACCATTTTCGTCATGATTAATAACTGAGTACCGATCATTTCTGAGCACCAAATCAGCATTGATTTCTGAAGGATCATGTGACACTGAAAACTAGAGTAATGATGTGGAAAATGCACAGGAATAACTTGCATTTTAAAATATATTAAAAAAGAAAACTGTTATTTAAAATTGTAATGATATTTACTATTATTTCTGATATATTGTTTAAGCAAACCGTAAATAGCTTATGTGGTTAGTAATAGTAATTGGTTGAGACTCACCAGGTACCATCCCTGTGAGGGAGGGTGTGGAGTAACTACCCTGCCCAGTTGGAGGAACATGAGGAGGGTAACCAGGGAGCGTGGTGCTGGCCAGGTCACGACCTGTAAATATAGAAAAAAGAGCATTTCTAGCATGATTAGCATCAACTCCATAGGGAAAAGTTTATTGATCTAACTTGTCAGTGAGTCATTCCAATCACCACAACCTTTTATGAAGCAATTTCTCCTGTAATTGTTCGGTTAACAAGTCCTTAACCTTTTTATCCGCCTGTTAGTTGTGACGCAAAGGAATACTTTTTTTAAGGTCCAAGCCTCTACTCCGTTTTACCGTAAAATACTATATCAACAGACATTTATTAGCACAATAGCACACCTTTAAGCTCCGCTTTAAAAAAACAAACAAGCAAAAAACAGTCTACAGGGTCAATATTTTATTATATAAGCACTGTTTGTTTTTGAGGTGTAATAGAACGTTTGGAAATGAAACCGATGGCGTGAGGTCAGACTTACTGTACTGTAACAAACAGAGATTCTGATAAATATCCTACAATGAGTTTCTATTTGGAATCAACATTAAATAATTTTTTTTCATTATAAGTAAATACATAAAACATTTGAAAACAACAAAGGCCTGTCATCATGGAACGAAGGTGTTCTTGTTTTAATTTCCGACCAAAAGTATATTGCTTTTACGCAACAGTACAAAAAACTAAAAGTTAATATTGAAATACTTCGTTACTGTGTGAATTTTTGTTCCGCAAATGAAAAATTTCCAAATGAAGCCTAACCCGAAGTGACAGTTGTCAGTCTCTGACACAGTAATGATGTTCCTAAATGAATCTGGCGTTTTGAACGAATCTGTTGAATAAATTATATTTAATGGCTCACTCATAAACACGGCACTTTTCGCCACAAATTGGCGTATTAATATAACCTGAGGAACACTCATGTTGGACTGTTACAGCACTCTTTGGAGCATTTTTAGAAGTGTGCATACATTTATGACCATTTTTCTTATTAATAAAGTTTCAATTAAAGACTAGTGTAATTTAAAAGCCGCAAGTGTTCACATTTCAAAGCCAATGAAACTTGGATCTATGCTGTAGCTTATTAAATCTGATAAGTGACATCTCATGAGCTTGGTAAACTAGCGACATCCTGTATAACCATTCTGATTAATACAGCCATCTCATTTTATGTCACATCACAAATCTGCCTTTGCCCCAGTAATAGTGTCTCTGGTATAATTATACACTGATGTATGACAGGGTCTGGTTGTCTCTACTGTTAGTGTAAAAAAAATACATGTCCTGTGTCACCCTCAGGCCTGAGAGGAACTAAAGAGAGAATCACGTCATTGAAATTGAAAGGTAAAAAATGAAGCTCTTTAGAAGACTCACATGTGGCAACAGTCACTATAGACTTAGACAATTGATTAGAGTTAATTAAAAAACAAACAAGGATGTATTATTGAAAATATTAACAAGAGATTTAACTTGTCCATTTTACAAAGATCACTGGGCAGTTTCTAAATTTAATTCTCTCTCTCTCTTTCTCTCTCTCTCTCTCTTTCTGTTGTATGGATGTATAACTGTATTAGGCTACATGACATGGCTGTCAGAGTGAATCATCTCTCAGTCTGCACATGGTGCTGATCTGTAGACTGCAGCCCATTCATCATAATAAACACCATCACCCTCAGTTCATCCATCCTCTTCAACACGCCACCATTTAAGCCGCTGTAGGGCCTGTGAGGTGGAGGGAGGCGAGAACAGAATCAGAGGAGGGAAACCGAATACTTTATCAGAGCTTAAAAAACATGATAGAGAAGATGAGAGAATGAATAAGAGCGATTGAGGCAAGGTGGAGAATAACTGGAGGAAAAGGAGCATTAGGATGGGAAGAGGTGAAAAGTGTGGACAGAGAAATATTTCAAATACCCATTTTTGTGTGACCTTTGGATAAAATAAACTCATTGTTCAGTGACTGTTTCTATGTTTGCAGGTATGTGAAGTTGAAAATGATATAACAGTCAAGAAAACATATACATTTTTAAAATATGTTAAAAAAGACGATTCCGGTCCTCGAATCTGATTGCTCAAGCAGAGTTCCAACAGCACTGAAACAAACCGTTTTTCAGTTATACCTCTTTCTGCTGGTTACATCATTACGTCGGTGGGTTGCTGCAAGTGACTGTCTTTACGAGTTGAGTCTACTGATTGTTCAAAAGCGCTAATTCATTCAAGAATGACACAAGGGAACTGTCTTTATGAATAAGTCATTGAATCATTCACTCAACAGGGGCTGGATTCACAAAACATTATTAAAATTCTTCTTATCAGCCATTTAAGAAAAGAACTCAAGAATAGTTCATATAAAAGAATATTTTGTTTTCTCAAAAAAAGACTCTTTAAATCAATTATTGTAAATAACCTCTTAAAGTTAGAATATTATTGTCTTAATTTCTTAAATGAAAGATGTTGTTTACTGAATTTATTGGTCTGTTTCGAATATCTAGGATTTTTTAAATAACACAAATAAGAGGTACTTAACACCAAAGTCATTTTCTTGTTAAGATTAAAATAAAATCAGGAACATTCTGACAAACTTCTTACACTGTAAAAAAAATATTTTTGGTTTATCTTAAAAAAATAAGAAACCTGGTAGCCTTAAAATTTTAAGTTCATTGAAATGGAAAAATTGAGTTAATACAATGGAGATTAATTTAATCACTAGAAACTCAAAATATTATGTTATCTGAACTACATAAATGATCTAAGTTGATTTGACAAAAGAAAAAATGTTGTGATTACAAATCATGAAAATATTTTTTTTTACATTGTAGAATTTCTCGACTTCTCTCTTAAAAAGATTTTCATGAATCCAGCCAGATTCGTTTACAAATGGGAACAAAAACGAAATACCACCTACTGTGTTGCTCAGAGTTGCACATGTTTAGTTCTTCTGCTTTAACGTCATTTGAAACTATTTTAATGTACCTAACCAAAACAGACAAACTTGCAATATTTACCAATACAAACTTGAAAATTGAAATTGCAGTGATATTGCTTATTGGGGGTGTAATGGTACACATATTCTTACCAATTTTTTTTTGTTATGGGTCTTTCTGTTTGGTACGTAGTTGTATCGAACGAATATAGTGTGTACAGAACTGTAAATGTTTAAAATTCATGCAAGAATTCCATTTCGCATAAAGGATTATCAAGACAGCAAGCGAGTCTACTGTATGTTTAACTTCGCAAAGACGCAGACTTAAGTAAACGAGTGCACGTCAAATACACTGTAAAAAATATTTTCAAGATTTGTTATCACAACATATTTTCTTTTGTCAAATCAACTTTATAATAATTTATTTAGTTGAGATAACTTATTATTTAGAGTTTCTGATGATTAAATTAATCTCCTTCATTGTATTAACTCACTTTTTCCAGTTCAATCAACTTAAAATTTTAAAGCAACCCAGGTTACTTACTTTTTTAAGTTAAACCAACAATATTTTTTTACAGTGTAGGCGAAGCGGATTAGAAGGGGAGCACAATAATTCTAACCTTATCCTAAAATATTTTGCAAACATATTTTGAATCTAAAAGTGTAAGCACTTCAAATCCCTTCCACAATTACAACAGCACCATACACTGACAGACCCTTTTATTAAAATACAAACATACTGTTTAATAAAAATACTTTTTCTCATGCTGTTCCGAAAACATAGCGAGCAGCAAAACTGTAAATGTTTCCAACATTTAAAATGTATATGTGACCACTTGCCCCAGTGAAAATGTACCTTGCCCAGACCTTACACAGTTACATAGAGTCTCACTCTCTCTCTGTTCTGCTGGTTGCCATGTTAGGGAGTTATCCATGTTAGGTGACAGGAAGACATTAGTGAAGTCTGGATACTAATCCACTCTGGGTCAGTGGACAGGGCAACAGCGAGGGACAGAGAGAGAGAGATGGACTATTCAGAGGTAGAACAGACAAGGCCTCGTCCTCTGAGAGACATTGTCAGAAGAGAGAAGAATGAAAGAGGGTAGACAGGAAAAAAATGTTCTTGTCCAAAAGAGATCAAATCTGGGTCCGGTGGGTAGTTCACATGCTGTGACACATTGAGCAGTGGTGCTAATGTGGTCAATGCAAGTTTGAGTCCGGCTTGTGTCACCCAGAAAAAAGCAACAACCATTCATTCATATTTAATTGTATTTGCATGACTGTATGATTTGTAAATTGATTTAAAAAATGATCATTTTTATTTTTTGTGATCTGCCAATAGGGGGCGCCATTATGCAAACATGAGGAACTCAATCCAGTCTTTTCACATGGTCCATTATGAGACAAGCTCTGCTTGTAATCCATTCTGGCTCTCTGTCCTTCTACACACACGCTCATATACACACACACACACACCGTGTAGATGTACAGGTTTCGCTCTACCTTGTCAGATGGTGCACAAATCCCAATTCCATGATTCCCTCGTTAGGGCTCCTGTCCAAGCAGCTCTTAATTAGCGCTCCCTTACTCCCAAATGGAGTGAGCGAGTAAGGGAGAGGAGGAGATGTGTATATAGTAATTACAGGTCTCCATCCACTCCCTCTGTCCCTTAGGAAATAGAGTCTGAATCTGAATCACTGAGCACTGTTTAACAGGTCTGATAACACTCATCTCACCCCTGGGCTGCCCACAGCAAGCTGAACCACAATCAGGTGGTTCTACTTCATGTTTAACACAGCTATTATAACAGGAAAGCCTTGCGGATCTCAGATCAGCACTTCAGCTGTTAGCTCTTACTGGAAGGAATGAGGTTGGTTTTTATTTTACTTTTCTGTTTGCTATAAAAAAAGGTCATACACTGTAAAAAAATATATATTGTTGGTTTAACTTAAAAAAGTAACCTGGTTGCCTTAAAATTTTAAGTTGATTTAACTGGAGTTAATACAATGAAGGAGATCAATTTAATCATCAGAAACTCAAAATAATAAGTTATCTCAACTAAATAAATTATTTAAGTTGATTCGACAAAAGAAAAAATGTTGCGATAACAAATCTTGAAAATATTTTTTACAGTAAACACTGCTTTAGACTCAGAGAAATGCTGTACCATACCTTTGACAAGTTCTTTTTATATATAGATTTTAATGGTGTACCCTTATCCTAAACTTAAACTCAAACTCAAGTCAAATTATGCAAATTGTGTGAAATTATTATTTAATTGTGCAAATTGGTCTTATTTTGAAATGCAAAAGTAATTTCCATCACAGAATGCTATTACGTAATTTGCTCATAATTTGAGATGTGGTGAAAATGACACTATTGTGGGAATTGTCATTCCATGATGCATGTAAGTGTACTGTTGGATGTTATTGGACAAATCAAATTAATTAATTAAATAAACTAGTCTCACTTTTTTAATGAATTGTTAAGTATAAAACATGTTTTGATTAATTTAAGCCTTACCTGGTTTGCTTGTTGAATGCATTCAAATGACATTTATTTTTATTTATCCTCTAAACACAGCTATAGATGTACATAAACATTAATTACTTGTAGTTACTACTACTAGTTATAAAAATGATAAAATCTGATGTATGCCCTGTCTGAAAGTGCAACTTCCCAGATGTTCAACCCGCTTTGTATTGTTACAATGTAGGTAGTATGTGTAAATGAACAATATTTACTTGTTTACTGGTGGTAACCAAAAGTAAACATTTACTCTTTGAATTCTTGGACCTGGGAACAATACAAGTTGGTACCATCATTACTAAAAGTTTGCTAAGAGGTATTTCCTACTAAAGCAAGTTGGTATTTGACTATGGTAAGCGTATCCATAGCAGACTGGTGGGAGTGACCTTGGATGGCAACTTGCCCAGTGAATTATGAGCATTGTTTTCTACCTATTTGGCAAAAGGTAGCCTATTTGAACCTATTTTTCAAGTAGCAATGATTTCCAAAAGGTTTCCACCTATCTATTGTATACGCAGCCAAGTTTTATTGAAAGATCATTTTGCCAGCAGTCATGCTGGCATTTCAACATTTAGTCACATGTAAATCAACATCATGGATCAAGGTTGAACCATTGTTGAAGTTTGTTTCGCGATGATATTTCAACATTCAGGTGACTGAAAATGTTGACGGTTGGTAGTGCAGACTGTAGTTAGAGTTTTGCACATGTAGCTCCAGTTGTGCTCACTGTCGTTAGCAATCGAAATAAACTGTAAAGGTTGGTCACATGCTGACTGGGATGGGTTGCAAACATCTGGAAAGAAGTTTTTATTTTATATAGTTTGCTTACCGGACACTAGTGGATACGATTGAGGTCCCGCAACAGTGGAACCCAACTCTGCTCCTGTCTGATTGGCCAAGCTGTTCTTCATCTCCTCCAATCCACCAGCCAGAGATGCCATAGCCGAGTAATCAGACGTCTATGGAAACAGATTTCATTAGATGGCTATATTGGAAGAAAATCAACTTCATGCATTTACTTTGTATGTTAACCCTCATCTGTTCTGCTCACTGTTTGCATGTGTATCCAAAATATAATAACACACAGGTACATAGTCAACACTAATGAGTAGAGGTGGCACAGATTCAGGTGATGTATGTGGCCGACCTCAGACTGACCCCGCTTGTGTGCTTTCATGACCAATTACTTACAATGATCTCTGTCCCACCCCACACCCACAGCGATTTATCTCCATTGGTGGTAATGGGGTTTGTCACTCAGGTGTGGATGTGGTTTGATGGCAGAGTTTGGAAAGTGGATGTCGCTTCTGTTTTAGTGCAGGAGGAGGTTATTAATAACCCTGATTAGGTGTGAATTAAACTTCAACAAAATCCTGATGATACACCTGCCCCTGCTGTTCCCATACAGTCTGTGCTCTTATACTATTGGAAATAATCTTTTTCAGAACTGTTTCCATTTGGGATCAAAAGACAAAATACTTGTACCACATACTTTGATTTCAAGGTTGTGGCTTTAAACACGTTTAAAATTTGCAGTCTTTCTCTTCAGGAAAAAAAAAGTCAAAGTTTTCTTCACTAAACCACAATTCATTGCTTTCATCAATTGTGATGTAACAAATATTCCTGTATTTCTTTTCAATAGGGAGTGGGAGTTTCCTCTAAATGACCTAAGAGACAATTGTCAAATTCTTATCTAATACACAGGTTAAGCAGGATGTTTGTTTATGTTTGTGTATGAATGTATGTGTGTATCCCAGTGACCCCTTAAACACCTCAGTGCTCATCACCACGGCGAGGGCAGTAGACTGTGACCTTACCAATCACAGCTCAGGCCGTCCACTTCCTCTTTTCATCCCTGACTCCTTCCCACTGTCTATTTCTCTCTGTTTCAGTCATTCAGTCTGAGATAGGCATTTCCTCTCTATTTATGCAGCTCGCACCCACCCCCTCATCATGTGTGTATGTAGATGGGAAGGTTAGCGCTAGTAATTGGGGATTATGAAGTTTGGCCCTACCTCTGACAGCAGCCTAGTGAAGATGGATGATTCTCATTTTAGCCTGTAAATGTTGTCAATTCTGAAGCTACGCAACCCATCAGCGACCATGATGCATAAACACACACACACACACGCATTTCACATATAGACGTGGCACACATACACCACAGCTGGGGCAGAGATTGGAGCGAGGCCAGACGTAGAGAGAGGATAAGGTTGGTAAAAATGGCTGTCAACAAGGAATGGAGTTTGTAAAATAAATTGAGATGAAAAGAAGAAAAAATGGGTAAGAGAAATGCCAAAAAAAAAAAAAAACTTTAATTGATTTTGACTAAATAACAAGCACACAGCCTTACTGAAACTTCCATTTCAACTGTATTCCTTGTTCTCACAATTTCTCTCTGGGGTCACGGTTTTCTCGGGGGTCGTTTTTGACACAGCCCCTCTGTAATGGCTCTCCTCTTCGCGCACATCAATAACAGATGAGGCCCCTAATCGCGCGACACCAAAATAATTTCACCCCAACCCGCAGCCACATTTACATAATAGTATTTCCTCTCAGATGCTCTTTCTCTCTTCCATTCCCTCTATCTCCCTTCCTCTATTTTCCCCTCAGCTTGTACGCATTGTCTCCTAGAAGTGCCTGTAAACTGCACTATGTGTGTGTGGAACTGAGACAGAGTGATGGGGGAGGTATTTAGCAGTGCATGCAGTATTAAATGAGCCTGACTGGCAGGGAGGCATTTATTGGTGAGCTCCTCTGGAGCAAAGAGTCGCGGCTCTCAGCATGTATAACACACGCGCACACACAATTTTAAATGCTTTATTTGAGACAATGTTATTTCCATAGCTTTTTGGATAAAGATTATATTTAAAGGCACAATGTCATCATTTACATCATTTACTTTTTGAAGAACGTTTTAACATTTTTTGTCCATAAAATGACAATGAAAGTAAGTGGGGTCCAAAACAACATTGGACAACATTGTATAGCAACATATCTTCTTTTTTGTTTGCTGAAGAAAGAAGGACATACAGGTTTGTAAAGACTAAAGTAAATGACTGACAACAGAATGTTTATTTTTTACACACCGTTAAGTATTGACGGTGTTTAATTTTAAGTAACAATCTTTACATGAGCTCACTTATGTTTTCTTTTTTTATTATTACTGTAGAAAGAGTATGGGAAATGATAGAGAGAATAGGATAAGGACACAAGACTCAAACTCCACATGAAGGGTTTTCGCGCCGAAGGAACCTACTCATAGTTCCTAGAACTATTGGCGGAAGTGCCTGCTTTTTGGCGTATTCACACCACAGGAACTGGACACCTTTTGAGAAACTAAATTAGCTCCTAATTCAGAGTAGGGTCTAACCCACCACAGTAGGAACTACCTGTGACGCAAGTGTGCGCTGATTAGCCAAAACACCATTCATTCTCCATTTAAAAAAAAGCTGTGTACACACACAGATCATAGCTAATATATTTACTCCACTAACTAACTAATCTCGAACATGGAAAACGGTGATAGATGGACCTCTCAACCTTTACACTAGTCAAGTCAAGTCAAATTTATTTATATAGCGCTTTTCACAATACAGATTGTATCAAAGCAGCTTCACAGTGATAACATGAAAGTAGTACAACACAGATCAATAATATTGTTAAATATTAAATAACCCCAACTAAGCAAGCCAAAAGCAAGGCGACAGTGGCAAGGAACCAAAACTCCATCTGATAGCTCTATAGCTCTTTCTTCTTCAACACTAAGAAGAAAATCTGACGCGACTTTTAGGGAACCAAGCAAACCATGATTATGTGTTTGTGCTCAGCTAGCAACATTTGGCAACAACCACACTGCAAACGCTAATACTTTTTCATATACTGTCTACTTACTTTGTATAACAATTCTATCTAATAACATATTAGACAAGACTGTGAAACAGATCGGTCTTTGTCAGACACGTGGGTTTGTTGTGTGTGACGTCACCGCGGCGCCATTTTTTAGGTATCGCTACTGACTGTGAGCATTGAAGAGATTACGAAAGTAGGGATAACAAGTAAATAACTCGCAAATCTGCAGGAGCACAAGAAAACTGAGAAAATGCAGTACTGCAATAAACTCAATAAATATGGCAGGTACCGTTTTTTGGAGAAATTGTCATCTATTCAGAACATAGATCCATATATGAGTGCTGATCCCGCATTGCTTTCTCATTCTCATATTTGAGCATTGTCAACTATCTTGTTTATGGTATAAGTGCATATCACGTTACCAGTGAACAATTTAAAAACTATACATCTCTTAAAGCCCGTGGACATTTCACCAAGTTATTGTATCCTTCGGTAGGAATGTAAATAAATCCTGTAAAGTTAGTAACAGCAAAGATAGGTTTGCTGTATTGATGATGATGATAGTTTCATGTTAAGGATGGTTTTTTTTGAAAAAAAGAATGAAAAAAACTATTCTCCAACAACAGAATACCTCAGCATCGATACCTTACAAATGGCGGCTACGCCCATAATGCGAGTGTGACGTCACTTGACAAAGACCGATTGTAAAATAAAGATGGAGAATGGGAACACTGTGAGCTCAGGCTCTGGTGTTCTCAGCGGCGTCAAAATAAATGTCCTCCGCACTATCAAAATAAAAGTCACAACAACAAGCACGGCTTACGTCACTTCAGAGTTACTACTGGCGGTATGCAACCAGGAAAATGGTTCTGGGGGAACATTTAGTTCTTGGGGAACTACTTTGTTTGCTAGTGCCTAGAACTAAGTTTCTAGAACTACCTGGTGCGAAAGGCCCTATACACATCATGGCTCCGTAACTGCTATGGTGTAGGGGACTGATCATCTGCTTGTGACATGTGCAACACAGGTTCAACGTGCCTATGGCTAAATTTATGCAAAATTATATTACATACTTCTAGCAGGTTTCAAAGTGAAATGTCCTATGAGTGGTGCTCTTTTTAATCGGTAACAGATGTGAACACATTTTTTTAGTTGTTAGTTTTGTTGAAACTTTTTTGTTGTAATGTTGTAAGGTGAGTGGCGCTAAAATATTAATGCTCGATTGCATTTGAAACTGACATGCCACCTACGCTAATTCCTACTCTATACCTAAACCAATAGTGTTAACAAAAGCTTTTTCATCATGACTTGTGTTACAAAGGACATGGGTGCAATGCTGTACCAGGTGAGCTACCAAGCAAGTTTACTACATCAAAATATCTATACATATGGAGCTGAATATGTGTGGCAAATTTATTAGTTTACAAATCATGCACTATGGGTGATCTGTATGTTCACTTATGTTCTAAGTAATTTTTTTTAATTGATATTTTTAAAAAAAATGCCCCTTGTAATCATAATTTTGCGAAAAGTAATCAAAGTTGTTGGTTTTTACTGCCACTATGTTGATTTCAGCTGGAAACTTCAGTAAATTGTATTTATAGTTACATTTTTGGAGTTTTGCAAAAATGGAGGCATGACCTGCTTCATGTCCCATTCCCCATATCATAGCTGTCAACATTGAACATTGAAAATAAGGGAGATTTCCCGCAATCCGTAGCCAAAATAAGGGATTTTTTTTTTTACATTATTAAGAGCATAAGTAACAAATGAAAAAAAAATATATTTTATTCCTATGTTATGACCTCTGTAGTGGACACCAGGACTCGATTGTTTAAAAAATGACATGAAAATATATATAGGCAAAAATAATGGAAATTTTTGACATATGAACATCGTTTTTTTTTTGGCCTGGAAACGCTTCCAACACGCTTGAGTGTCGCGTGGAAAATAGGCATCTGGTTCTATTTCTAGCATGCACGCGTTTGCGCGTGTCACGCAGGCAGTGTGCAAGCTCTAATCTGTTAACATGGGAGCCGAAATAAAAACCATAGACAGTAAAATAAAAACGGCCACGCCACGCAGCTGAGACGCACGCAGCCAATGTGTCTCCGGCCAGTGCGCGCAGCGCTGCATCCGAGTATGAACGACGTCAAGCCGAATAGGTCCGAGCTTGTACGTCTCACACAATCAGAGCGTATAAATACGGGATATTTTACGGGAAAATACTAAAACGGGAAGACAGCGGGAACAGAGATAAAATACGTGAGAAACCCGGAATAAACGGGAGGGTTGACAGCTATGCCCCATATATTATCCTTAATCTTGTACTTTTGCTATACTTTCATATAATATAAAAGCAAAAGCCCCCAAAATGAAAATGCTTTGGCCCGAGTAAGTCAAACACAACTGCGTGCATTTTTTTTTTTGCTCTGATCTCTTAATATTTTCTATTTTCCTCTAAAGTTTGTTTTTATGAATTAATATATTCTGGTGCCTTTTTCTCTTTGGTCTCTTGGTCTGAGTAATTAGACCAAAAAGCTGAGTAGTTCAGTCTAAGGGTTGTTGGGCTGTTGATGTATCTTTGGCATAATATAAAGAGAAGGAAAGAGGAAATTCAAATGAAAAGACTCTCACGAGCGTGCAGTTTTATATGCCCCCCCTTGAAGTGCAGGACACTAATTAATAGATCTGCCAGTGCTTAATGGTCCTTCCAGCACCACAAACTGGGAGATGGAGAGAGCAAATGAGAGGAGAAGTGAAAAAAAATGGAAAAGAGGTGGAGAAAGGGTGCGGGAGGGGAGGATGAAAGATGAAAAAATAAATTTCATCACTATAGATATAGTTTGTGGGTAAATTTATTGGTGGAGAGAAAAGAGAAACAACATTTTATGTTTACCATCACAGCAGATGGGGGATAAATAGGTATTTAATTATACATATATATATATATATATACTTTTTTCTTGCTGTGTATGTAAAACTTCCAATGATCCAATGAGGTATATACGTAGTGCATGGAGCTTTTTGATCTTGATGTAACTTGCTCTGCCATCATATCATCCTCACCTGTCACAGTACAGACTCACAGGATCTACTGACTTTAAGTATCAATCAGACATAAATATCAAGTGACCAATTATTAATTGGCCATCCCCTTCCGGTCAACCACCATGGGACCTTTTTTCGGAAAAATATTATATGGTAGTCAATGGCGAGAGACAACAAATATTTTGATCTCGTTTGAATTGTGCCCTGAATTACACATATGATGTTTGTCAATTTAAAACATACATTTTAAAGTAAAGAAAGTTGCAGTTTGATGTAAAACCGTTGAGGTAAGACTGTGAAAATACGTAATTACAAAGACTACAAACCCCAAAGGCGCACATTTCTCTCAATGTAGCTAACTTTACTGAGGCTAATGTCTGTCATTGTTTCTATAGTCTTACGTTATAATCGTAGCGTTACGCCGTCATGCCTGAGTGTTTTGTTCCAAACTGCACACACACGAGCAGCGGATCTTGCTCGTTGTTTCGCTTCCCGGGAGATGTAGTTCATTAAGCGATTTTCACATAAAGCTAAATGTTACTCTTCTGTTTTATGACAAACTGCAACGTTTTTGACTTTCAGTATTATCTTTTAAATTGACAAACATCATATGTGTAATTCAGGGCACAGTTCAGACTGAATAAAAAGATTATTGTCTCTCGCCATTGACTACCACACATATTTTTTCCGAAATAAGGACCCATGAGCCGGAAGCGGAGGGGCGGGACTTAGGCTCTCTATAGGAATTATGCTGCCTTTAAGTGGTATCGGAATTATTGTAAATATGAATTTCCTAGTTGGAAATTGGACATGAATGGACTCTCACGTCGTATAAACTTTGACACAGTTGAGAACTATTGCTATAGTGACTGTTAAGTTATTTTTTTTACACATCTACATTCCTTTCTCTTGCCATTATTACAGTCATGTATATTTACATAATAACCATTTGATGCATGTTGTATGCATTTTATACAGCAGAGAGCTTTATTTGATCTTAGAAACACTCCTAGAAACGATTCCAACTCAAACCTTCCAACTTGAAGGTTTTAAATTTGATTGAAAGATTTTTCAGAAGCTAAGTGGTGGTGACGTTGAAGTCATGTGACCATGGTGTAGTTCATTAATAGACTAAATAGCTTTTACCTCTGACGATTGTATTTAGGGTTCAAAATTCATAAAAACGTTGTTCATTTGCAAGGATTATACGAACAACCTGTGTAAGATGAACTTGTTGGTCACTTGTTCCTTCGCTTTTTGTCGAAGGAAACATAGTGATGCTATTTCCGGGTTGGTCTAAAAAATATGTCATCCTCCAGAATGGATGGATGGGTTAATGAATGGGTGGATGGATGAATATCGCTACATTGAAGTCATGTGACCATGGTGTAGTTCATTAATAGACTATGTAGCTTTTACCTCTGGCAATTGTATATAGGCTTCAAAATTCAAACTTTGTTCATTTGCAAGGTTCATTTCTGCAATAATCCAAAAGCCAGTGGGAAAATCCTATTTTCTTTTTGTCGAAGGAAAGAGAGTGATGCTATTTCCGGGTTGGTCTAAAAAATATGTCATCCTCCAGAATGGATGGATGGGTTAATGAATGGATGGATGGATGAATATCGCTACTTCGAAATGGCTGAAAGACATGCTGTGCCACCATGAGGTTTAGTTACAACATCCAAAAGAAAGGGTTAACATGTTGGATTTCTGACATCAGAAAGATGCAGAAGTTTGGAATAAGACTTGAAGTTTGAATTCTGAAAGTTGCATTTCATTTTCATAGTACTCTTATTTTAAAAGAGATGGGAAGATTCAAATATCATGATTTGACTTAAAATGACAGGTGCTGAATAAACAGATTATTTGAGAATACAATTATTTGACAGTAATCCGATTGATTTGGTCATATTAAATAAAATTCATTCATTTTGATGTCACTACATGAAGCACACTCATACCTTATCTAAGAAAATGGTGTAATCACATCATTGTTTTTGTAATTGAGCCCTTATGTAACCAAATTAAAACAGCAGCTACAGGTGAAAGAACTAAATCAAGTCCCAAGTTCATTTCATGCCTCTGTTAGACACAAACACACTCAACAGATTCGAGCTCTCTATTATTTCTCTCTCCTTCAGCAACATTCACAGGTTAGACTGTCAGCGGAGGGAAAACAACCTGCCAGTCAATCACCTAAGACCGTTTAGCATACCTCTCTCATACAATCTAATTTCTAAAAAAAAAGAGACAGCTCCAGATTCCCAGTTCTCAGTTTGTCTGATCGTTTGTGCCACAACAAACCTGACTCACACACACACCCAGGGGATGTGGATTGACCCTAAGGTTAATGCCCTGCTCAGTAGCCTTTGACCCTGCCAGCCTCAGTGCTCAGTGGTGAAATGGACAGAGGAATTATAGGGTCTTTCAGACAAGTCTATAGAACTCTGACACTGGCCTTGTGTGAGTGTGTGTGTGTGTGTGCCTGAATGAATGTGGGGGGGATAGCATTTGACTTTTGAGTGACATCTTTGACTGACTGTTCTTGTGGACAGTTTTTATGCAATGTGATCGTTTGTTTGTGCATGCAGCTGTACTTTTGCATCTTGTCTGCTATGTGTTAGCATTTACACAAACCCAGCACTGACCAGAATGGAAACGACAGGCCCATTTTGATCCAAAAGGGATTCCCCTCTCCAAAAATGGCAAAAAAAAGTGTCTAAATCGCTGTGGTTTAAAAAGTCTATTCACAAGTTGGCCAGCCCAGTGAAGTCACACTATTCGAAGATCATTTGCTATAAACTGCAACTGTTGTCATCACGTACCCTCCCTCATGTCGCTCTAAATTTAGGCCCTAGGTCACTCTTTTCAGAATGTCAAAGCTGCTATTTTTTATTCAATGAATGTGCAGTAGCTCTCCAGTTTATTTGCAATTAAACACTACCGGTCAAAAGAAAAAATATTTTAAAGCTGCATTTTTATTTGACCAAATATAAAGTAAAAACAGTAATATTGTATTTTTTTTTTTAAATCTATTTGAAAATATTTTTTAAAATGTAATCCACTGTAAAAAAATATTTTCAAGATTTGTTATCACAACATTTTTTCACTTAATTTATTTAGTTGAGATAACTTATTATTTTGAGTTTCTGATGATTAAATGAATCTCCTTCATTGTATTAACACACTTTTTCCAGTTCAATCAACTTAAAATCTTAAGGCAACCAGGTTACTTACTTTTTTAAGTTAAACCAACAATATTTTTTTTTTTCAATGTGTAATGGCAAAGTTGAAAATTCAGCAGCTATTACTCAACATGATCCTTTAGAAATCATTCTGATATTGCGATTTTGTGCTTGGGTGATGATTTATGTTATGTTTTATCTCCCAGGACTGTCACTAGTGCCTGTTTAAAAATGATGTGGACAGCAGTTAAAAGAAATGATCCTAAAAGCTCATTTATGAACATTAACATTTATGAAACCCTCGTCTTACAGTATGAAATATTTTTGTGATGATAATAATTACAGAATGTACCTAATGTGGACATAGAAACATAATTCCATGTGTGTGAGTAACTTTTGCAAGCTAATAAACAAGTGTTTGCTACTTAACCCTAAACCTCTACACATTGCTGGGACTTAATCTCACCCTAAAACTCGATAGAGGACAGATCAGCACCAGCGGGGTCAAGGCCCCAGAATTAGCTTAAAGAGGTGAAAGGTCAGCATTAGCTTCAGTGTGGGGGCACATAGGTCAACAGCAGGGTTGGGACAGGGTCAAGAAATATTGGCAGCCAGGCAAGGGCAAGCTTGAGTTTTCAGAGGAGGTGCACACAACCACTGTGGCAGGAGACACGCCCCTACCCCCCAGCCCTTACCTGGGCGGGCTTGTAGCTGATGCTGTCAGGGACGGGGTAAATGTCGGGATAGGGCTGTTGATCAAAGACATGGTCCAATACCTCGAGCTGCTGCGGCGTAAAGAGCTCTCCGCGCATCTGCTTCCGCAAGAAGTCCCGCCCTGAATGGGCGTGGCCATTCGCCAAAGGAGAATCCTGTAGAGCTGGAGAGAGATTCACACAGATTTTATGAAGTAGTAATAATATACAAAGTAAAATATACAAAAGTAGGACATTTTTGGATGTAATAATAATAATAAACTTACAATAAGGTTCTATACATGAATTCACCATTATTTTGTTTATTGTTAATCTATGGGTGGTTTAACTTCATGCACTTTTATGCGCCAGGGTTTAATTTTTATTCAAACCAATAGATTTCAACTTTTATTTAAAGGATCCTTTTATCATTTATTTTTGCTAATTTACACAAATTAATTTAGCCAGCCCAGACTTTTAGTAATATAATAAAAATTCAAATTCATCATAAAAAAATATTATAACATTTTTAGATCTATGATAATCTAAACAAAAGTTGAAGAATTTCTGTAAATATTTCAAATATTACAGCTGTCTATTAGTTTTGACGTCATTTCCACCACACCAAAAATTAAAGTACTTGTAGGCCGAAGAAACAACAGTCAATAAAAATATGCTTGAGATGAAAAATGAGACATGGTGTTTGAAGAAAACGTCTAATAATGAAAGTAAGCACATACTTTGAGAAGAATATTTGGTTTCACTTTATTTTGATGTTCCCTTTTACACATTCTGTTATCTATAAGTAATGTTACACCTACATGTCTATACTCGTCTCATTAGAGTGTTATAGAGTATTAATAGACTGGTAGGGTTAGGGATAGAATAAGTTGACATGTACTTCCAAAGTTACTAGTCAGAAGTATGTCTTTGAGGACGCATCATTAAGAGTTGGCAGATAACAAGCAGACAGTCTACTAATACTCTAATGAGAGTTAGTTGACATGTAGTTGCAAAGTTACTTATAGTTAACAGAATGTTCAAAAGGGACCATCAGAATAAAGTGTTACCGAATAATTTTATTGGCACCGTATCCAATCAAAATGTCATTTTTTTTAAATTATGCAAAAATTGTGACAATATTATTTGATTTTGTGTAAATAGTTGAAACAATTTTTTCCATAGGAGATTTAGAATATAGGTTTAGAACGATATTAGGGTGAGTAAATGTGAACTATCATTTGTTGACTTAAATAATGGTACCAAACCATCTTACAAGTCAACCACTTTAATCTAATTTGTTTTAACATAGGCTAATTGTGAGGATCAGAAACTCTAGCTGCATCCTAAATTGTATGTAGTATGTACTACATATACCTATATGAACTTACTTAACCGTTACAATCGCCATGTTAGCATTGTCATGTGACCATATGGCATAATTTGGTTTGCCAATCATGACTTCTCTCCCATGGCCAAATGGGAAAGTGTCCATTGGATGCACACATCAGAATCGCTCCATAGTATGTCATGGGTACTTTCGCACTGTTTTATGATCACTGCGAATTTTCACGTTTTTTGCCTGCTATATACAGTAGTAGGGAAGGGGAGATACGGGGCCTAACATATGACTTAGTGATTTATTTGTCTTTGTCATCATGATCATAAAGGTACTTGAACTTTTTTTCAAAACCAACAGACAGAGTCAAGCACACATACAGGCACACAAACAGATTCCTGGACTTGTGTCGTCCTCTCTGAGCGAGTGTTAAGGCAGCGTGTGAGTCAGTTATTACTGGGCTGTTGAGTTTCTGAAGAGACAATTATAAGAGCTGAGAAAGCTACAGCCCTCAAATGATTACAAGGTGAGAAAAGAGAGAGAGAGGGGGGGGGTGAAAAAAGAAGAATAGAAACGAAAATCCCTGATATAGAGCCAATTCATTTCTTCAAAATGCCTCTGAGAGGTTATTCTAGGGAGTTTGAGTCAGAGGCCAGAGCAATCCCCACAAAACGAGAAAGAGAGAGAGAGAGATGGAGGGATAGAAGGATAAAATTCCAGGCAGACAAAGCTGCTATCCTAACATTCCCCTTTCCTCCTTCATTTGAACACAGAAATCGATCCATTTGAATGTGAATTCAGATCCAGTTTACTGCCGCCTGCGGTTATTTAAAAGAAAGATCTGCTAGTCACTGATGGCGTGAAGGTCCCATGTGTCTCTAATACACCTCAACGCCAGGACTTACTTAAATGCTCTCTCTCTCTCTCACACACACACACACACACAGAACGCACAGCGAGTGTATGATCTCCAGTGTTTTGACCCTCTTAATCCCAGCGGTCAGTGTGTCTGATAGAATTCAATTGATCAATCATGTCTGTGAGATGGCACCATTTCAGCAGGTTTATTGCTTTCCACTCTTCTCAAAGACTGTCCACTGACGGCACACACACACACACACAAAAGATGGATGAAAGGTTGGATCTTGGTTTTTAAAAGAAGGGCTGTTTGTAAACCCCAACTCTCAGGAGTGTTTGTGTGCTTTGCTTATATTTGTGCACATGGTTGTTTATTTATGCATCAGTAGGGACTGAAACAACTGAGACCACTAGGGAAAAATGCATTTGTTTAGCATTCTAATTTCATACAACATTTGCCTCATTACAAATTGTACTATCAGATAAATACCGATAAAGAATTTTGAAGGCCGATACCGATACAAATATTTGTTGGTTTTAAAATCCGATATTCCGATATATTGGCCGATATTTTTTTCCAGAAATGCGCAACAAAACATTACAGTAACAGATTTCCCTAACATTAGTTATTTGTAGTTATTTATGAGTTTTAACTAAAATAATATGATAATGCATTTTAAAAAGAAACTTGTTTTGTCACAACAGAACAGACTGTCGATAGTGGCATTAGCTAGCTTTGTGGTTAGCTTGTCTCTGATGAACCATAATTTAGCAATGGATAACGTCACACTGCAAATTGTAAAATATACATTTTCAAAATAAGAGGCCAAGGAGAGATGATACGTCTCTGTCACGCGCTATTAAAGAAATACTTCAGTCACATTGTCAAAAGTTAAAAGGACAGTCAGTCAACTACACTGTAACAACGTAACGTAACTATTACTAGCTAATTCTGCTTCACTCTCGGCTTATTTAACAGTAGCAAAACTGGACATGATGGTCACAAATTTTGTCATGCTTATTTGAGAACTGATGGGCATGTTCTTTTAATTGTTATTCAAGCAATGTAATGAGTGTTGCCAACAGGGACTGTGTAGAGTGCCCTCTGGTGGACAACCTATACAACTCCAACACTCATGACATGGTTCAAACGTGTTTCGTCCATTTTTATTTTATTTTGGAAATATTCATTTATCGGCCATTATAACTGCCGATACTGGAAAATGCCTAATATCGGACGATAATATCGGCTTGCCGATGTATCGGTCTGGCTCTAATTTCTTTGTAATTGGGTTTTCCCCTTTTCTTTCAGAGACAGCAGCACTCAAGCTGGCATAAATTCCACAATTAGTTAATATTATATTATATTATATTATATATTCTTTTTTTCAACTTTCTGTTGTGTTTCAAAATCCTAATCAAAACCCTTACAGGTTTCAATAAACCAAGTCTTAGATTTTAATCCCACTGAAACATCTATAAAGATGCAGTCATATTAATGAAATTTCACCAGATTTCACAGAGCAAAAAAAAGTCTATTGTCAAAAGTGTAGCGATGTATGAAGCACAGCTCACACAGAAGTCAAATTCAAACCAAGCAGCTTTCTATTGGTCAACGTGGCTGACTTGAACCCATTACAAAATCTGTGTGGGGAAATCTTTTGCCCTCATGCGAAATCCCCAATCACATGGATTCCTATTGAAGTCACTGTGTGAAATGTGAAGAACAACTGCAAATGTGACTGCACCTTAGACGTAAGAACGTATGCCTATTGTTTCTTCCAGAGCTTCAGGCGTCCACAAACATATCCTAAAACATAGCCATTGAGTGTCAAAACATTATATGGACTTTTTTTAGTTGTTATTATTACACAGATACGTGTTTATCTGTGACTGCTTGTGTGTATGTTATGTGTGTAACTTTCACAGTGTCAGCCACCATGTGTAAAATGCAATTTCAGACACATCTGGAGACGCACTCAGCCATATCAGAGCAAAAGAGAGACAGTAAGAAGAGAGGTTCCCGATATAGCTATTTTTCACCAAATTTAAACAAACACCATACCAGCATCATGGTTAACCAACCTTCCTTGTGTTAAGTTTCGAACCCCACAAACCCACACGCACACAAACAGAATCATTGGTCTTAGGTATTCAGATGTTCTCTGGCCTTTTGTCTTTCAGCCTCTGAACCTGCTATAGGGAACCACTCTCTGTAACCAGACACAATACAGCCCAGCTGCATTCAGGGTTAACCCCACTATTCACACACACACACAGAAGGAGAACGGAGGAGAGGCATCTTCCTTGCTTCAAAAGCAGAAACAATAGCAACAATGAGATCACCGTTGTGCCCCCTCTGTCTTTTTCTGTCTTCCTCGCTCTTTCTCTCAGGGGTGAGGTTGAAGGTTTTTGGTGCAGAAAAAACTGTTTGGCTGATTTCTTATGCAATTGTGTGTGTTTGTGTTTGTGTGTGTGTGCGTGTGTGTGCGCGTGTGCCAACCTTGACAGATCAAAGTATAAGTCTCTGAAAGGAGGATACCAACCTTTAACAAATCCCACTGTTATCATCTATCCCCTATCCTCCCTCTCTCTCTCTCACTCAACCTCTCTTTCACAATCCCCCCACCTTATTAAAAATTTCCCTATCTTCCATTCAGAATATTCCGAGATAAAAATGACTGAAATGAAACTGGACAAGAAGTGAACATATTAAACGGCAGAGGAAATCACGTCTGTCCTGATGATGTCCACTGCCAATGCAAACATCCCAACCTGATCTCACGACCAAGTCGTACGAATTCGACGAATGATTAAAAAGTGGCTAATTCGTAACAATTCATATGACCTCACTCGTACGAATTAATACGATTTTGCTAAATGGTACATATTTTACGAATTGGCCAATTCGTATGAATTCGTACGAATGACCTACCCCTTACCCCTAAACCTAACCATCACGTGGGTTTTGACAAATCATACGAATTAGTACGAGTGAGGTCGTACAAATTAGTACGAATTAGACACTTTTTAATCATGCGTCAAATTCGTACGAATTGGTCGTGAGATAGTGTTGAACATCCCGGTTTGGTTTGTGAAATTGAACAGAATAACAACCATAAATGTGTATAATTTTTCTGTTTAACTTTTTTCCGCCCTTCACTTGTTGAAATTTTTTACATTAAAGGAAGGTTTCTTTATTGTTTCAGGGGGCAAAGAGAACATTGTCCGACCCCTCTGCCCCGTACCACAGGCCTCCTGTCTTTCTTTATTCTATTTCTCCTTTCCTCCACTCCTCCCCTCGTCTATTCCTCCTCCGTTCTTAGAGAATGGGCAGACACAATGCTTCTGTTCTAGAGGCCCCACGAGTCAAGTTCTCTCTTTCAGATCACTTCCCTTGGGTCAAAGGGCACCAGTGGGCTTTCCCCAAACACACACACACACACACTAAGCCATCCAAACCCTCTGCCACTTCCTTTCCTGCTTGTGTGCAGCTGGAAATCATGGTGTCTTGCTTCACTAAACATGTATTTGGTCTCCCTCTCCCTTTTTGAAAGCATTACCACTCAGCATAGAAGTTCCTAGTGTTACATAGATGCAATTTACTGAAGTACATGAAAAAGATCTTTATTTAATTTCTAGCTTTTGCGGCCTGGGTATCGATAGAAATTTCCCAATTCAACACTGATTCACAAGCTCTAAGTTTGACTGAAATTTATTTGGGTATATTTCAGTTATAATGTCCATTTTGCAAACATATAAGAAAGAAAATTCTCTCTCTGCTAATGCTGTATATTATACAGGGCAGTGATTCAGACTGATTGAAATGAGTAACTGATATTTTATTCATTAAAACAACCGGCTAACAAAAGTCAATCACTTTCTGAATTGAGCTACTCTGGTTGCGCTGTGTTCAGAACCTGTTCATATGACTCATTCATTTTAGGAATCGGTTTACACTTTTCATGCAGTATGTTTTTGATTCACTATAAAGAGCAAGGTTATAAGAGTCATTTGTTGCAGGAATTGGTACACTTTTCACGCTGTATGTTTTTGATTCATTACAAAGAACAAGCTTAACCGAGTCATTCGTTGCAGTAATTGGTCTACACTCACTGTTAGACCTTACCAGGTTTTTTACAGTAAAATACTGGCAACACTGTTGCCAGTAATTTACTGTAAAATGCACTAAAACTCAAGTTAACTAAAAAATACAACTTAATAGTTTTAGTGCATTTTTACAGTATTTTACTGTAAAAAACCTGGTAAGGTCTAACAGTACTGGTCTAACTCTTTTGATTCACTAAAAAGAACCAGCTCATGAGACTTATTCACTTCAGGAATCGCTTACACTGGTCACACTGTATGTTTTTGATTCACTAAAAAAAGATGTCTCATAAGACTCATTTCTTTTATGTACTGTTTTTTCGTGCTGTATGTTTTTGAATCACTAAAATGAGCTGGCTCATAAGACTTGTTCGCTTTAGGAATCGTTTACACTGGTTGTGGTATTTGTTTCTGATTCACTATACTGTAAATAACTGACTCATAAGAGTCATTTGTATGTATGCATGTGCAAATTGTTTGTTATACAAAGTTTTGGCGGTGTTTGAGAAAAGTATTCATGTCATTTGAAAGATGTAGTCAATAGTCATTGAATGCATTTTCTGCTTACTGTAAGCAATGCTAAATAATCCACAATTTTCCCACATAGACTGCTGTTGTGCTGAGTGTGTGAAGAGGTTTAAAAAGGTGATCAAAATATTGAGAAATGGGTCCTATCGATTTGTAAAAGAAGTGTAAATCACAATCTGTAAAGCATCCATCCTACTCTTTCTCAATTTGACAAATAATGACCATGCTCCTTAACACGTGTCTTATACTTCTTAAAATTTGCAAGCAGTGTAGGTTTCTAGCTGCCAAAACTATCGCTCATGTTACTTTATGCCTTTAGCAAACCCATGAGAACGGCCCAGACGTACTCACACACACACACACACTGCAAAACATCACAGCACTGACCACCCGCAGTTTCACCACGTCAATTAAACACACAAATTCATTTAGTAGCCCCTCCCTCCCTGCTGGATGTGATGTGTTGCATTAATTAAAGTGGCAGACGTCGGCCTAATTGGAGCTTGGATGAACGTTGATGTTTGTGTGTGTGTGTGTGTGTGTGTGTATTCAGCTAAGCCAGTCAGCTTACAAAGTTGTATTGCATCTATACTTTATGCAGTTGCCTTATGCAGTTTATACAATTTTAACTTGAGTAGTATTATTGTATTATGTGTTTGTATTTACAATAATAGTAGATAAGATAGATAGCATAACGATAGATAGATAGATAGATAGATAGATAGATAGACAGACAGACAGACAGACAGACAGACAGACAGACAGATAGATAGATAGATGTCGGCTGTCGAAATATTTATTCTACATATTTACATACATATTATTTCTAAACTGCAAAATGAAAGTGTGCTAAATAGAAATGATTGTTGATGTCTGGTATTTCATATCATGTGTGAGAGTATGTGGATGACATCTGGAGTTCCCTCATGTACTGCAGGGGTCTGCCAAGCAATGGCTTTTTAATAGACATGTGTGCAAACACACACATACACATGCACATCCACATGCACACACTGTGCCTCCCCTGGATAGAGATGTTTATCTAAGACGTGCCAGCGGTGTCCAATCCCCCACCTACTCTGATGCATCTGTCAATGTTCAGCAACTTCCATCTGTGCTCTGTGTGTGCTTGTGTCTATGTGTGTGTGTGTGTGTATTAATGTGACATTATGCAGAAAGAAAGAAAGAAAGAAAGAAAGAAAGAAAGAAAGAAAGAAAGAAAGAAAGAAAGAAAGAAAGAAAGAAAGAAAGAAAGAAAGAAAGAATACATGGTGTAATTGAATTTTTGTTCATTAAATGCTGGTCTACATTATGTCTCATTAGTGTTCTGCATGAAATAAAACAGCATGAATAACACTTTAAAGGGCATATTGCAGGTTAGACTAGAGGACCCAACGAGTCAATGTACTCACCCTCATGTTGTTGCAAACCTGTATGAGTTTCTTTCTTCTGCTGAACACAAATGAAGATATTTTGAAGAGCGATTGGAACAAACAGTTGTTTGGCACCATTGACTTCCATAGTAGAAAAAAAAAACATTATGGAAGTCGATGGTGCCAAAGAACTGTTTGTTCCAATCACTCTTCAAAATATCTTCATTTGTGTTTAGCAGAAGAAAGAAACTCATACAGGTTTGCAACAATTTGAGGGTGAGTAAATGATGACAGAATTTTCATTTTTGGGTGGAGTATCCCTTTAACCTTTCATATGGTATATTCATACAAGGTTATATATTAATTTAGATTTTTTTGTTTTACCTATGATATGCTCTTTAAAGGGATAGTTCACTTTGGAATAAATTTTTGTTTTGTTTGTCTTTGTTTCCACAGTATTTTCAATTTTGATATTTTTAGGTCAAACCGTTCTTGTCTGTCAGTCATATAATGGAGGTATATGGGGTCCACCCTGGGTCCACCTCAAAGAGCATGCACAGAGAAGTCCAAATTAAACATGTTGAAACGTTGTTGTTGTTTTTTCCGCAATTCCGGCGCTTGTGCAGATCGAAGTGCCCGTGCCTTCAGATCACTTGGACGTGGCTGTGGTTACAAGAGGTAAAAATGATATAAATCTTTTTCTCACACAAACCGCTCATTTCATGTCTCAGGCCATCAATGTGTACTTACATTCACGAGTCATTAAATCATGTTTCATTTGGACTTCTCTGTGCATGCTCTTTGAGGTGGACCCCATACACCTCCATTATATGACTGACAGACAAGAACGATTTGACCTAAAAATATCAAAATTGAAAATACTGTGGAAACAAAGACACCTACATCTTGGATGCCCTTGAGGTAAGCTAAAACATGTCAAAAATTAAATTCAAAGCGAACTATCCCTTTAAGCTAAGTTTAGAGTAGATGTTCTGTTCCCGAAAACAAAGCTCACACATCGACTTACTTTCGTCTCTCTTCCGCTTGCTTGCATCGGCAGGTGAGCTAATTCCCAGAATTCCACTGATAGAGTAGGAGGAGCCTGCAGTGTCACTGGTTACTGAGGATACCTGGGTCACTGCCACTGTAGAGGCTAGAAAGTTACAGAGAGTTACACAAATGTCCCAAAACAAAGTGCTGCTCATCGTGCTGACAGGACCTTCCCATTGGAAAGAATAAACTGTGATAAAGAAAACTGCAGGTGTCCTCTATGTCATTTTTTTCTGTATGTTGGTTGTACCACATTATTTTTTGGTTGCATAACATTACTTTTTTCAAATATTAGTCCATTTTTGTCATATGCAACAGTCTTCAAAACATATTTTTTGTTTTCCACAGAAGAAAGAAATGCAGACAGGTTTGGAAAGACATGAGAGTGAATAAATAATGACAGTTTTTTGGGGTGAGCTATTCTTTAAATAAAGCTTTCTTTTCAAGAATATTATTTGAATGAGTTTTTATTTTATTTTTTATTTTTGTTATAATAGCAGAAACTCTAACATTTTTACTTTATGCCCCAAAAATATATCCAAATTTTAAATTAAAATATATTCATAGTTCAAAAAGAACATTAGCATCGTGTCATCAACCCTTATACATAAATCGCTCAGAATTTGTAATATGATCTTTTATCCATTAATATTTTGTATTGAACTGGTGTAACCTGCGATATCATCTTCCATTTTTATTCCATTTTAATCATAGGTTGGATTTCCAGGTGATGCATGGAATGGGCAAGTGTGTATCTGTGTAAATATCCCTGGACAGAATTGGGTTTTATGTGATTCTAGCCTCTGCCTAGTTAAAGCTTCCAGCCCAATGTCTTTTGTTGATGTGTGTGGTGTTTTTGAGTTTTGTTTATCCTCTCGTGGTTCTTGGCCCAGCGTTTTCCCTGTTAAAGACCTTTCACCAAAAACTGCTGTCACTCTATTCTAGCAGCGTGCTGCCGCCCAAGGATAAGATGCTAACAAGCTAACAGCTTTTCGACATGTCTGGCTGTCTGTGAGGTCTTGGCAGTAAGGGACGAGGCCACAAAGTCTTCTCTCTGTCAACCCTTCATTCTCCTCTCTCTCTCTCTCCTCTTTATCTCACTTCCTGTCAGCTGACGTACAGCCTGAGTGACAGTACAGTGGCCCCAAGGGGACACTAAGGTGTAGAGATGAGGCTAATCCCACATCCCAACAGACTGTGCTAAAATGGAGAAGGTGGGAAAAAAGAAAAACAAATCGCTCGGAGAAAAGATAAACGCCTTTGCTCGCCCGCCGCTCTCGTTTGCTAACCAGGTGGAAAATGTAATGAATGCATATCCATCCATTTTTTACCCCTGATTTATCGTTTCAATTATCTGATTCTCTTATTCTTTTGCACTTTTTCCCCCCCTCACGTCAAGGAATGGAAACCCGAAGCGAGCGCTTTATATTCAAAATCCCTAAATTTCAATTTTCCGCCTGAGTATGAGAACTATTTATCATCATAATCTGAGAGGAGACAGAGAACTGGCAAGCGTTGTGCGTGTGAAATTAATTTAGATTAAGCGGAGGTGTGCGATTATGAAGATTACTGACAGTGAGACAAACACAGTTCAATAGTTTATTAACTGCCGACGGGAGTTTTCCTCATAAACTGGTCTCAGACCATTTTTTAGAGACTCCCCTTTGGTTTTTAGAGGCGGCATTTTGAGTGTCAGGGATTTAAGGATGTAATCAAATGTTGAAGATTGAGGATATCTAAATGTAAATGTTTCAAAATCTCAAATCTCAGTCCCCCTCAATGTCTAGCATTGGTATACGACACTGCCTAGATCATTTTCATAGGATATACTGGTGTGGTGAAACTTTTTTATTCCAGTTTTCAGTTACTTGATCCTTCAGAAATCATTCTAATTAAGTGTTGAAAATGTTGAAAACAGTCGTGCTGCTTAATTAATTTTTTTATTTTATTTTTTGCGGAGACTGTGATACTTTTTTTTTCGGATTATTTTATAACATTTTAAATGCATTTACTGTCAATTTTAATCACGTTTTAATCAATCACTGCAGAATAAAAGTATTAGTCAAAATGTTGAATGGTAAAAGGCCTACTTTTTTTATTTATTTTTAAAATCAAAATATGTTTCTAAAATTATCCATTGTGAGGAATTTAAAATATGACAAAAGTAAATGTGACATTGACTCTTACCTAAATTATGGGCAGAGATTGCTCCTGATTGGCCAGGTGGTTGCTGGACTTTAGTGCGAATTATCCTGCGGCAAAGAAAGAGCAAACAGGAATTAGACATTATGGTGTGTTTGAGGTTTACTATGCAAGGTGCTATGTGTAGGGGTGTGTGGGTACTGTATATGCTTTAATATAAGTATGCAAGCACGTGATGTGTGTGTGTGTGTGTGTGTGTGTGAAGTGGCTCATGCAGGCTGACATGGCAGCAGAGTCTCACACTTCCTGCATGGCTGCTCAAGCAAAGCACCTTTCCCCTCTCTGCCTCCCCCCTCTCTCTCTTTCTCCTCTCTCACACACAATCTCTCTCTCTCTCTCTCTCAGAGAAAGATTGTCATTGTACACATGCTGTTGAAGCAGTAAACTGGACACTGCTCATGAATATGTGTCTTTTTATTCCACTAACTCAGTCAGTCCTGTTGTTTTTCTCTATCCTCCTCCATTCTTTCTATCTATTATCCATGCATTTCTATATCCCTTTTCTAAAGTAACCAACTATTTCACGTTTGTACACATATGTTTTTGAAGTAAGTCTTATACTCAATAAGGCTGCATTTATTTGATCAAAAACACATATTGTAAACAATAACCAGAAATATTGTAAAATATTATTACAATTTAAAATAATTGTTTTCTATTTGATTATTTTTTCATATGTAATTAGTTCCTGTGATGCAAAGCTGAATTTTCAGCAGCAATTACTGTCTTCAGTGTCACATGATCCCTCAGAAATAATTTTAATGTGCTAAATTGGTGCTCAAGAAACATTTCTTATTATAATCTATGTTGAAAACAGTTGCGCTGCTTAATATTTTGGTGGAAACTGTGATCATTTTTTTTTTCAGGGTTCTTTGATGAATAGAAAGTTCAGAAGAACAGCATTTATTTTAAATAGAATATTTTTGTAACATTATAATGGATTTACTGTTAATTTAATGCTCAAAAGTATTCATTTCCTCAAAAAACGCAAATTTTACTGACCCCAAAGTTTTGAACAGTAATTTACAGGCTTTATGCATGTTTGGAAAGTGAAGCAATGGCAAAAACAAATTCAGAAAAACACGCTTCAAACAAGTTCAAAACCCAATCAAATCTTAAAAGGTTCAATCGTAAGTCACTCCCTTATATTTTAAGGAAATCAAATTGACACTTAGGCCTAAACAATTTTGTGTCAAGTTGAATGGATAATGAAAATATTTGAACAGTGCACACACACACCTGTTGATTGAGCTGACACTGGGCACGCTGTCATTATCACACACTCTCTCAGCCAGCAGTCTGTCTCGGATCTCCCAGGCAAACATGGTGGGGTTTTGGCGTTTGTAATCAGCGATTTTGTCGACGACTTTGGGTGTAGCAACCTTTGGTTTGGAGCCTCCGATCACCCCTGGTCTGATGCTGCCTGTCTCATAGTACCTGTGGAGCAAATGGATAGAGAGTTGTATTTAACCAGGCAAGATAAACAGAGAGTTCTGGCATAGTAGGCCTATAATGCCTTGCGGTCAGCGTGCAGCAGGTTAGCCAACTAGTAACACAGACACCATGAACAACACCTTTCACAAACCTGAAATAAATAATCAATCTGTTCAGCCAATTAAAAAATAAAAAATAATCTTGTTTAAATGTGCTAAGTGATGTCAGGTGACGTTTAAAGTATTTTCAAACAAAACGGAGGCTAGAAAGACCCTCCCTCCTCCTCATTCGCGCACTGACCCCCCCAAACCCCACCCCCAGTGCCTTCTTGTCAGTAATTGGCTGGAACAGTTTGTTATGTTTTGTGGAGCAGGTTGCCGCAATTTGTTTTTGTTGCCATTTGTGTTGTCTGGGTTGTCTGCATAGACCGCACTTTTTTACAGTGTGTTTAGGGGACAGGCAGCTAGCGGATAGTAAAGAGATGTTTGCTGTATGTGACAAAAAAAAAGTTTTGGCCTAAAACACAGCCCATTCTCACCCCCAAGGCGTCACTTAACTGGGGAAGCATTTGGACATGCTTCAATATCTGACGCTTTAGGCGCCCTTTAGCGTCAGTTAGATGACGCCCTAGGATCGCGTGTACCCTACCCCCACCGCACACCTAAACCTAACCACGTCCTCTAACTGACGCTTTCCTTTAGCGTCAGTTAGATGACGCCGTAGGATCGCGTCATGTAAGTGACACTAAAGGGCGCCTAAAACGTCAAATATTGAAGCATGGTCAAAGGTGACGCCTTGGGGTGAGAATGCGTTGTAAAAAAACGTGTGACATTGCTTAGTGCACCTTTAAGCCATACACAGAGGAATTCTGAAATACATCCTGGTCTAAATTCTGATTGAAGCCATGCAGATAAATTCACACCTGTGTCCACACATTCTATATTAATTCATCTATGGTAAGTGTAAACCCCCCAAAAAATCAATTACTCACCCTCATTTCGCTTCAAACCCTTAAGACCAAGTTCATCTTGGGAACACAAATGAAGATCTTTTTGATGAAATCTATGAACTTTCTGTCCCTCCATTGACAGAAACGCCACTTTCCACGAAGTTCATAAAGAGATTGTAAAAGTAATCCGTGTGAATTGAGCGGTTTAGTCAAAATTTTCTGGAGAGATACGATCGGTTTATATGATGAACAGTTTGAATTTAGGCTTTTATTGACATATAAACATTGATCAGTGAACATAAATAGAAGCTCAACTGAACCTGCTTGACGTGCGAGAACAAACCTCTTGCGGAAGCTAGAACTGCTGCGTAACACACATCATTGGTTCTTGCACGTCAAGCGACCAGCGCAGTCTCATCCCAAGACGTCATATGACTGATGTCTTGGGACGTCTTTTGACCATACGTCAACATCCGCCTTTTTAGGGTACCCTTAAACGTCGGTTAGATGACGTTATCGGATCCTAACCTACCCCAGACCTAAACCTACCCCTAAACCTACCCCGTCACCTAACTGACATTAAAGGTAAAGCGGCAGTTGTATGACGGCCCTGGATCACTACGTTATCTCACGACCAATTCGTACGAATTCGTACGAGTGATTAAAAAGTGGCTAATTCGTACTAATTCATACGACCTCACTCGTATGAATTCGTACGATTTGTCCAAACCCACGTGATGGGGGTAGGTTTAGGGGCGGGGTCAGGGGTAGGTCATTCGTACGAATTCATACAAATTGGCCATTTCGTAAAATATGTAAGATTTAGCAAAAACGTACTAATTCGTACGAGTGAGGTCGTACGAATTGTTACGAGTTAGCCACCTCGTAAAATTTGTACGAATTCAACCGACGTTTAAGGGTACCCTAAAAAGACAAAAGACGTCAAAGACAAAAGATGAGACTGTGTTAAAGCAACCATGCTTGAGCTTCTGTTTACCACAACTGATGTGTGAGTTGATTCATGTTTATATGTAATAAAACTAAAAACTAAATGATAGTTAGTTACTCAATTCTTATGGATTAGTTTTACGAACTCTTAAATAACTTTGGCATCAAAGTGGTAGTTGTGTAGACTGTCAACGGAGGGACAGAAAGCTCTCAGATTTCATCAAAAAGATCTTCATTTGTTTTCCGAAGATGAAAGAAAGTCTAACGGGTTTGGAACGACATGAGGCTGAGTAAATAATGAACCATCCCTTTAAGCAAATCATGGTGGAATAATCATTGAGTTAAATATTAATATATTATTATATATTTTTAATTTTAAGACATTTATTGAAAATATTAAAATATATTTAAAATGAGATCATTTGGTGAATAATCATTATTTAAATAGATTCATATTAATGCATTCTAATATGCTTGTTAATTTTCTTATTATTATAAATGCCGAAAACAGTTGTGATGCTTAATATTTTCGTGGAAACTCTGATTCTTTGATGAATAGAAAGACATTTATTTGAAATAAAAAATATTTTGTAACAATGTAAATGATTTAACTATTTTTGTTCAATCCTTGCTCAATAAAAGTATTAATTTATTACAAATAAAAAATATCTTACCTCAAACTTTTGAACTGTATGTGTGTATATTATGAAATTAGTGATATATGATATAATTCATTATTTAATGCATTTATTAACCATTTGAAAATGTATTGAATATCTGATGATTAATTAATTAATTAATGTAATCTTGAAAATTTGTGTCTCATATATTAGCTTTTTCTTGTGTTTTATGAAGCATCCAGCCCGGCTATGCATTACAGTAATTTCACCAAGGTAAATGGGGTTTTAGGTGCTCTGCTTCATCATGCATGGCTAGATTTAGTTAATGTCCTACACACAAAGATAAAGCGTACAGCACAGCCATGAAAAGTTCACCAAAATTAGCATGCAGAAAATTCCCTCATTACAAGAGAGCCGAGTTAGTCATACGCCTTATTTACTCAAACCTCACTTGCAGCCCACATATTAGTGTGTTTTCTGCCTGAGCAGTAAGAGGGAGGGAAGATATTACCACACACACACACACACGCACACACAGAGAGCGCTGCAGTAACGGTTGAGTGAGTTGGACCGGGGCTGGGGGAAGAGGGCTGAGGCAAAGGAGAACAATGCGAAACACATTTTTTTGATATAGCTAAAGGCTCTAGCACTAATCCACACCTTTATCCATTCAAATTCTGCCCTCCCCCTTAACCCCTTCCTCCCTCTCCTTCTCTCTTTCCTCCTCTCTCTCTCCCTTTCTCTGTCCTTCCAGCCATCCCTCCCTCCTCAGGAGACGTATGGTGCCCAGTGTCATTTTGATGCAAATGTAAAATGTGATGAATCTTTTCTTTTTTTGTCCCAGAAAGAAAAGACGGCGCTTTGACTTTGGCTTCGGTGCGAGATTTCAGAATTACTGAATTTCAACGTGTCTCCTTTGAAAGGAACCGCTGAGTCAGCCTCAAGTTGAACCAAAGGCAGAGGGAATATCAGCCGTATGGCCGGCATTCATCAGTGTATGGATATTTTGGAAATTGATATTTATTATGGATTATGTATCAGTTGACTTTGATGAAAGAATGGAAGAATGGTTGGAAAGCTTTTAAAGGCAACAAATAGACACTGACTCCACTGTTTGAATGCAATAGAGGACATTACGCTGGTTTCCCAGGCAATGATTAAGCCTAGTTCTGGAGAAAATAGCACAGGCAATGGAGATTCTCCATTCAAAATCCTCTTCGATTTGGGACAAAGCAAACTCTGTCTGTGGGAACTAATCCATATTATTCACCAATGCAATGTTATGTGAAATAATCATACAATATCTTGAGAAACTGACTTTATACTGACATAGAGCTCTATAGCATGTCTAGTCACATGTTCGCCTAGTTGCAAGTTGCATCCACTCTCTTATATAATATTTTAATAGTTTACAGTTTGAGATAAAGTGCTACATACTTTTTAAGTCTCTTATACTCATCAAGGCTGCATGTATTTGATCAAAAATAGAATAAAACAGTATAATAATAGATTATTTTCCATTTTAATATATCTTGTTGATGCTCAAGAACCATTTCTTATTATTATCAATGTTGAAAATGGTTGTGCTGCTTAATATTTTTCAAGTTAGAGTGATTATTTCAAGATTGTTTGAGGAATAGACAGTTCAACAGAATCACACACATACTTTGGTGCTATGATACTGAATGATGTATGATTAGGGTTAGAGTTTTTATATATATATATATAAACACACACTTATACATGCTTCTGTTTGACATTTTCTTATAAGCAGAACTCACCTGCCCAGTATCTTGCTGACGCAGCCGTGGCTGACCCGGAGCTGGCGGGAGATGTCACATGGACGTACGCCCTGATGGGCCAACTCCACTATCCTCTGCCGCACCACGTCAGGCAAGGGCCGCCCGTTGACAAACACCCCACCCAGCTGATTCACCCCTCCATGCCCTGTGGACACAGACAGCAATAAATGGACACTGAGCAAATCATATCATCCTTAAATACAGAAGCTTTCACATAGCAGGCAAAAGGTGTTGCTGTCCCACCCTGGTGTGTGCGCGCGTGTCTTTGACCTGAAGGTTACGATTCATTATTCAGTCTCTTCCTCTCCTCTTTACCATATCTGCCCCTGGTGGTCACCTAGAGAATTGCACATGACCTCCTCGCTCAAGTTTGTTTTTGTATATGGTCTATAATTGTAGTGGAGTCTTTTTTTGCACAGTGGGTGGTGGACTTAGACTTTTGGATATTTTCTTTCATTCTTGTACTGTATATATTCATTAGAATTCAGTATCTTATCATCATTTCAGTGCAGAAGTCTTTGTGGTAATCCAGCCCAATCTGCCATATTAACATACTGATTGCTTCAGAAGGGGAACACACAAACACACATTTACACACACAAAGGGACTGGGGGATCTGTTAATCCGAGCTACAGGGTAATGGATCTTAAATACATCCGGGCAGGCGATATCAAAAAGACCTAACTGGCCTTGTGTCCTCATAACTATATATAAGTTCGGCTAAAGAAAATTAATACCCAGCTATGTGTCATTTTCATTCTCTCAAGGCAGTGAGCTGCTTTTTAATGAAGTTCCTTTACTGAGTGATTTGACCTCTGAGAGGTCTCTAGAAGTCTGATTTCAGTTTCATTTGACCGCTTTTCTATTTCGTTTTGCTTCAGTTTCCTTTTTCTTTTAACAGTTTATTATTTAAAAACTTACTGACAAAGTCACGAGGTCAATTAGCTCAGTTGATTTTAAAGATGTACATTAAAAATTAGGTGTGCAAACTTTTTTATGATTAAATGTGTTTGTGTATATATATATATATATATATATGCTTAATCCCCACAGTTTCAATGTAATAAACAGCATCACATATGTGTCCTTAAGAAATACACACAGTGAAAAGCATCAGACAAACATTTGAAAGTCGAGTATAAAATGATTCTTCCGGTGGATGGCCTTAGGTTTTTAAATTTGGATAACTTAGAGAGTTTTTAGATCAGTTTATGTTGAAATTCTAATACTTTAGTCAAGTCAAGTCATATTTATTTATATAGCGCTTTTTACAATACAGATTGTATCAAAGAAGCTTCACAGTGATAGCATGAAAGTAATAGAACACAGATCAATAATATTGTTGAATATTAAATGTCCCCAAATGTTTAGTTGGAAACTTTTTCTCTGCAACTAATCACCAGTTAAGCACTGATTTAGTTAGTTATGATGACCATACATATTATTAATATATGCACACTGATCAAGCATGTATTTAAGTGTAGCCTATATGAGATATGTGTTTGTTTGAATATGAGAGCGTAGAGAAATAAGGCTGCCATAAGGATTAAATGAAACAAGCTATTCAGATGTGATCTAACCCAGACTTTTCTTCAGCAAATACTGCAGGCTTATAAATCGAAGTGTTCCTAGAGCTTTGATTGATTTCGAGGCAGGTTCCGTTTAGAAATGGCGAGAGCGGCTGAAAGACATTCATGCTCCCCCATCCAGAAAATAAACCCGATTAGAGACGCTGCTCCATTACGATCCGCTATCGGCCGCCTCGGTTAAACCAAACGCCAGCAAAGCGACGTGACATCAGGCGTGCTTTAACAAACACACTCGAGAGAAAAAAGAAAAGAAACAACTACGGGACTACCTTCATTCATGCAGGGTAAATGCATTGTTTTCGAGAATGAATGCATGCATAATTTGTAAGTAAAATCACAGATATATACATTTTAAAAATAAAAAGAGTCTGATTTATCTTGTAGGCTATAGTAAAAAAAAAAATACTTTTAAACATAGGTTATAAAGTCCAGTAGCCTAAGCGTTTAGGTTTCCTGGATTAAAAAGTTTTAAAGAGATTTAATATGGTCATATAGTCATAAACTAGTCTAGACTGTGTACATCATAACAGGTTGATTATTTATATTTTGTCATTGTTTACTCACGTAGCATATCATTACCTATTAATAATTAATGTCTCACTGCATATAGCCTATTATTTATTTTATTCACTAATAATGATTTTTTGCATAATTTACGTAAAATTGTAAAAAGAAAAGAATACTGTTTAAAAAAAAAAATAAATAACCGATACCAAAAAAAAAAACAAGAGAAACTCAGAGCACAGAAACTAAAGATGACACTTTAGAAATTCCAGCAAAAAAGAAAAAAGAATCTTAGCAAACTTCAATGCTTCACTCCTAAGTAAGACTGAATTAGTTTTTTCGATAGACAATGACAATTTCGTATTTATTTATTTTTTTATTTAATTCGTGTTTAAATAAAAACAGATAAAACACTGTTAGAAGTCTTTGGCAAAATTAATAGCCTACGACTGCTAGCCTACGCATTCATAGCTCGTGTCAATTTAGGGTAAAACTTTACCAATTTATACGACCAACTAGTGACCTAATAACAACTGTAACATAGCTTATAATTTACTGCACCAGGTGTTAAATATTGTAACTTACATTGTACGATAGTTTACACTTTTTATGGTAATTTAAAACCTGCAAAGTCGTATGAATAAACATGAGAAAGATAAACAGCCTATGAGTTTAAAACATCATAAAGTCTTCTTCCTGTCTCTGCAACGTCAGTGAGAGTTTCTTTCCTCATAGTCTCGCAGTTTCTTGGCACAGACAGTCCATTCTTAAAGCTTGCACCGTTTGACATTTTCGGTGTAATCGTTTTACCCCGTGGATTGTGTTGAGATATTGTGGCAGAGAGGAAACGTGATTCGTTCTAGCTTCTGAAATGTGTATACATCTAATCCACCGTTTCATTCACCATGCCAATTGATGTCATTTCACATAGACGTGCGTGTGTAAGAGTGGGTGGGTGCGCGCATATTTGAGTTTTGCAGGTTTATTCATCGATGAGAGAGCGAGAAAGAAAGAATGAGCGAGCGAGTGAGGATCAGGAGGAGAGAGAGATCACAATTGCATTTTCAGGGTGCATAATATGTGATTGGCAGCTTGGTTTGGGTAACAAAGACATTGCAATTCTCGGTTTTCAAAAAAAAAAATTCTTACAAATTAAAGATACGCTGGTTTTTCATAAATAACTAATAAATATTTAATGATTATTAAAACAATAAAAAGTGTGTCTTGCACACTGAAAATGCTCATTCATAATTAAGTAAAATAATGAAGCTGTTGTTTGCTGCTTGCACGCTGACTGCAACACGTATAAAAAATAAAGAGCAGGGAAAGAGAAACGGGGCCCTTAACGCTGGTATCTTGGGGGACCACCGGTGTCCGCCATGTCACGAATGAGTGACCACACATCTCTCCGCCACAGTGAGCAACTTCAGCTTTCGTTTTTAACCTCACAAGTGGCCTGTTTACAGCTACTCTCGCGCAATGTATTTAAAGGTTACGGAGCCTGTTTGCCATATCCTCAGGCTCAGCTGCGGTTCAAGTTCAGTTTGTGTCCGCTGCTCTGCTGGCCTTGGCCGCGATCTCTTCCCCCCTCTCTTCCCCCCTGGGATTGTCAAGCAGGCTAAAGCTCTAACAAAGCAATCCGGTTCTTAGAATGCCAAAACAATCGGACCAAACAGCAAAAAAACGTCACATTGATTTATTTAAGACAGTTGCCTTATTCAAGTTTATAATGCACATGCTTTGATTTCATTAGATGTAATCGGTGTTTACTCTTAAAAATAAAGGTTTCAAAAGGTGGGAACCATTTTTGGTTTCCCAAAGAACCTTCAGGTCATCAGTTCTTCAAAGAACCATTTTTTCTTAGTGTGAAAAACACTTAAAAAAAAAACCTTTCAAGAACGTTTTGTGGAATGTAGAGATTTCAAGGTTCTTCATGGAACTAATGCCAATAAAGAACCGTAAAGAATGTAGCCTATATTTTGTTATCCTATTTATTTAATAAATAATAAAAAAACAAAAACATTCTGGGAACTTTGAAAGAAATCAACTATTTGAAAGCAGTTACTGAACGACGGTGAACTTACTGTGCATCGCTGCGAACGGGTCGTGTTTGCAGTGGATTTCCATCGTTTAGCAGGACAGGCCCTCCGTTAAAAAGTCTTTAATGTCCAGTACTTTTTCTTTTAAAGGTTTGTGCGTTTGTAGTCAGTCCGTTCTGCTCGGAAATGTCTCTTTTAAACGCAGTTTCAGCTGTTTAGAAGTCCAAAGAAACTTTGGTTGGAAAATAAACAATTGACCCTGAAGACCTATGGCCTATCAAGAGTAAAAGTAGGCAAGTTTTTGTGAATTGCGTGGAGGGACTAAAAAATGATAATTTAATAAATAATCATTTATCTTGTCCGTCATAAATTAGTCTACAAAAATAAGCAAAAAGGCGGTCCGGGCACAACCCTGCAGGGTCACACAACTGCTTCTGCGGCCCAACATCCAGAGTGAACTAACTCAGACATCTGTAGGGATTCATCAAAATGGCATATCAAGAAAAGTCCTGGCATGTACCAATTTTAATATTAGTCCGAACAGTCTTCTTAAGCTTTAGATAAAAATGTAGAAGTCTCGTTTCCAAGCTCTATCTTGACATCCTCGCTCCACTGACCGTGACCCGTGAACTGTGACCGAGGTTCGCACTGTCAGAGCGCGTCCCTTCCAGGGATATGTAAAATCCTGGTGAGGTTTCTGAGAAACCCAAACATTTACTTCATGTTTAACGGATCTTCACATAAACGCGATTTCCTTGCATCTTCTAATTGCTCAAATCGCGCCCTCAGACTCTCTTTAAAAAAAAGAAAAGAAAAGAAAGAAAATATGCAGATTACTCCGACAGCACGAAGATCCCCAAACAATAGATATACGACCGTAGACATATAAAATTAAAAAGTACTTGGTGTGAACCCCGAATCAAAATGTTTGCCAAAGTTAAACAGAAAATGATAAATAGCCATTGCGCGAAGCATTTGAACTTGAAAAAAAAAATGTCCAAGAAATGTCGTGAAGAAGAAACAGGTTTTATCAAGTTTTGACCCGCGTAAAAATCCACGGAAAGTCTCAGTTGACTGGTATGGCGGTGTAGTTTTCCTCTCCCGTCGCAATTGATGTCCGCCGAACGGTTCTTCCAGTGTGAGAAGCAGTGGTCGAGCCTCCAATCCTTACCGCGCAAACACTGCACGAGCGCACGGCGCGTTTCAGAACCTGCTCTCTTGTGGACAGCGCCAAAGCTACAGCGCTCTGAATCTACTACCGAGCCCGAGCGAGACTGTCAATCAAGAGAAGTCTACCTATCCGAGCGCTGCACCTCTGCCGTCACAATCGCCCTGAGTCGCGCTCAGATAAAGACGACACCGATTGGCTAACACTGAACCAATATGAGAGTGGCGTGCTGTCCCAATTGTGCACCGACAAATAGGGAGTCTTGAATCGAAGTTGGTTCTCTGGCTTCGCTGATCCCATGTCTAATTTCAATTAAGGAAGGTGATAAAATTGAAATTCTTAAATATCCGTTAGCTCTTTTTTTCAGTCATTCAATTAATAAATGGTTAATAATTGGGTATTGCGTCATTATATCTTTTCAACTGTAAATAACCTTTGTTAAATCATTATTTTAAAAAATGCTTGACAACTGACGGATTGCAGCATTTTCTGAGCTACATGCATATAAAAGATAATGATACATAAAAAATAAATGAAAATATTTTCTCACTGTTGTATTTACACATTATTAGAAATTATAAATGATGTCGCACGTGCAGTTGCGACTGCTGTTTGGTGTCTTTGACAAAAGTTTTAATATTGTTATTTAGTAAAAAAAATAATAATAATAATAATTAAAAAAAGACTTTAAAAGGTTTAACAATTTCATCATTCATAATGAAATCTATTCGTTTTTATTATTTTTTTATTTATGAGGTTTCTTTCCAACAACAAAATAATCTCCCTACATGTTTGACGGACGAGCGCTGTTCCACACAGACTTTTGCTCTATCCTAAATAATTTTTCATTACCAGCCCTAAAAACAGATATTAAGTTAAGTTTAGTTGACTTAGAAACTATGGTGTTTTTAAATAATGATTATAATTGCCGTGGTGTCTAGCATCATGGTAATCAGTGCAATACACTTTTAATTATTATTATTATTTTTTTAAGAAACCAGTAGGCTATTATTTCATTCATTCGTTCATTTCATTGTTAGATCACACGAAAAGGGACAAAATAAGCTACTTGAATTTAACTGATTCAGTTTAACACCTATTGATTTTTTTTATATATATAATTACCGTTATGTAGGCTATATTTATTTGTGTCCTTCATTAATTTATATTCCTATACAAAAAAGTCAAAATATAAATAGGCCTAAGTCAAAACATAAAACGACTAATCATGTTATTCAACGTGTTACATTCAGATGTTAAATTGCCTACCTATATTTAAAGGAACACCCAAACCTTAACTCTTCTAAAACTCCATTGTTTTGATTGAGAACACTTTGGGGCAAATTTCCGTGCATATTCTGCGACTAGTCACATCTAGAGATCAAAGATACAATTATGTTATATATGGATTTGCCTGGTCAGAATAATGTAATATTTAAGTCACTGTAATCCTATGGTAGGCTATCCTCAAAATGCATGTGCTCAGCTCACATATTCGCTACATTCTGTGAAGGAGAGATTCCTCCGTGGTGCGCCATAAGTGCCACGAGGGGGCGAACCTTTGGTCTCTTCTGAAGAAGCTCCATCGCGCGCAAACACACACCACACACACACACACAGCGCGCGCACACACAGCAAATGCGCACGCACACTTATAGACTTTTTTTTTGACGTTTTGCAATGTTAAAAAAGGCCTAAGCGCTATTTGCAGATATTTTGTATTCCGTTTTTAATCTCATTAGACGTTTAAATATGTGTGTCGCTGTTTTGTTTTGAAGAGACAAACGCAGCCCTCAAATAAACATCAACTATGGCTATTTTATAACTTTATGATTCATTTTAAATTAGAGATTAAATATTTTCGCATAAATTATTTGAATTATTGTAGGCTCCTTTTTGTCTCTCAATTTCCATGTGTTTAACTGTGGCCCACGTGACTAAATGCTCTCAAATTCTGTCTTTCTTGAGGAAATGCTTGCTTATAACAGTTGCCCAAATTTTTTGCTATAGCTTCACAAATTAAATATAAAAACAACTAAAACATAGCTGATCATTTGTAGCCTACAGTTTGCTTTTGGCTCTGTCTTGGAATATATAATATATATATATATATATATATATATATATATATATATATATATATACCTTTTTTTCTAAATCATAAGACAAAATGATTTAGGGTTTAGGATTCGGGTTATTAAAGAAATCACTTAAAAAAACAAATAGCCTAGGCTACATAATAGACAGTATGCTAAACAAAACAGACGCACACAAAATAAAACAAGAATATAGAAGTTTTCAGAATTCGGTGGGCACAAATTTTAAAAATAATTCTGAATTGAGCCTATCAGAGTCAAAGCCAAAGACAAGGCTTCCAGTCCACACCAAGTTGGCAGTTAATGATTTACACCACAGAAACTCGTATTCTGTTCCGTTTCTTTTAGATTAGCTGTTTAGTTTTATTCGAGTTAAATCAAGTTATTTCTCGGTCGCTATCATTGAGGAAAGGAACCCCTCAGAACGTCAGGAGAAAGCATAGCATTGCTTTTCGACGACTGCAAGTCAGCTTAGTTTAAGTTTTAAAGATATATTTTGACACAAAAAAATGAACAACAGGCTAGTCATAGCCTACTATAAAAATTGAATGCTCATAAAAATCAAAAGACAAAAAAAAAACACAACCAAATATAGGCCTACTGGGATGTCCGATGTCTCATAATAATTTGATTTAGTCTTCAAGGAAATCTGGGCGTAGCCGTTTTGACGCAGGTGAGTTTAACCACCTCATGGCTCATTTTCTATTTAAGACAGAACTATTAAAGAACGTTGTTTCTCGTTGTTATAAAAAAATCCCTTTATGCATATATAGCCAATATACTAACACATTCGACGTGTAAACAATCAGTTTTGACTAGGCTACTGCTACATCTGTGAAGCTGTGAAGCTCAACCTCACGTTGAGCCAAGTAAGCAGCAACAACACCGGCAGATTTAACGCAGAAATCTCAACTGCACGCGCCATTTCATTGGGAGCTTTAAATGTGACGCGTGAACGAGTGACGTTTATGAAAACACAAACATATTTTTAATTGAATCCAATGGGCTGATCGGTCATAATTTATGCTTCTGGATCAAAATGAAATAATCTGAGGGACTCAAGTCTCAAAGTTGTTTTTTTCCATTGAAACAAACATCTTTCAAGAACCCAATTGTGTGCGTCACTGGTTCCTCATCCATTTTCGCGTATATAGGCCTAGTTTTTAAATATCCTGACGGTTTTGAATTTTGATTTTGTTCTTTGGACTGTAGGGCAGAAAAATAGGCCCAACCCCAGCACAGTTCAAGCTCAAAATCAAAGGGTTCGCAAAGGTGTGCCAAAATAAGCTTATAGAATTTGTAGACCCATTACAACGTGTTGTTCTTGATTTGTTTTTTTCTCATGTTAAAAGTGTCAAAAGATGGACCACCAACTTTCATCTCAATATGAGGATTAATCCCAAAAACAAAAACAGTTTTATAAAAGACATCTAGCCCATTTAGCAAGTAATGCTGTATTTGTAAAAAGTTTTGTAAAACAGAGACCTAGACTACTTTGAACAAACAATAGTTCAAGTGAAATGGAGAAACAGACAAGGCCCTACCCGACCGTCCGATGCGCAGAGATGGACCCTTTTGGTCCAAGTCCATGCCGTGGCTAGAGGTTGGACAGAGGGATGAGCGGGGGGGGGTAAGAACAAAAAAGTTCCCTCTCCTATATCCTCTGTTGTTGGTCTCTCTGCGCTTTTTTTTTTTTTTTTTTTTGTAACAGTGGTTTTGACAAATGGTAGTTTGAAATAATGTGACTCTTCCGCTCCCTGTTGCGCCGTTGCAATTGTTCACTGGAGTGAGACTAAACGTTTTAGGTGGAAAAGAGACTCTGAAGGAAGCGTGAAACGATTATGGGGCAAAGTCAAGAAAGAGCCGCGCGCTCATGCCTTCTTTCTTCCTCTTCCTCTCTCTCTCTCTCTCTCTCTCTCTCTCTCTCTCTCTCTTTCTTCCTCTCTCTCTCTCACTCACTCACACACAACCGCTCCCCCTCTTCAAATTGACAGTGACGTGGGGTTTAGGCCCTAGATCTGAGCATTTGTTGGGCCCTAGATCTGAGCAAACTTAACTTTCGCTCCCTCGTTTGTCACCCCAAAACGAACATTCTATCATTTACTCATCCTCAAGTTGTTCCAAACCTGTAAGCATTTCTTTGCTATGTGAAACATCAAAGAAGATATTTTGAAGAATGTCGGTAACCAAACAGTTGTCGGGCATCATTGACTTCCATCGTATTTTTAACCTTTAGCCTATGGAAGTCAATGGGGTCACTCAATGGTTACCGACATTCTTCAAAGTAATCCATTCATACCAATTTTGACTGGGCCTAAATGATGACAGAATTTTCATTTTTGGGTGAACTATCCCTTTAAATGCGTCAGGTGATTTTGGGTTCAGTAAAGTGAAATACAGAAAATGATCTTTAGTTAATAGGCTAATTATAAAATAATTACTAAACATGTGCGTGAATCCCAAATACAATAATTTTCAATATTCAATTAATAGACTATTTATGTATTCAAATATTTATTTATAAAATCCAGTATAACCTATTCATCATAAAATATGAAAATCGCGTGTGTGTATATATAGGCCTATATTTTATTTTTTGTATTTTTTTTTTTACGTTAGGCTGCAATAGCCTATTGTTACCAAACAAATGTAAGCCTTCTGCCAAAATACACACAAAAAATAACTTTCAGTCCGTGAGGCCTTTTGGTTGCAGTGATGTGACTTTTTAAGGCATAATTTGGTCAACCTAACGAGACTTCTGCTTTTTTCCGTTTAGCACCGACAATGCACGCGAACGCACGCGCTGGATGACGCCAGGCGATGATTCGAGGTCTCTAGGTTCATGGGCGACACAGACACAATTGAGCGCGGAACAATGCGATGGACGCGCCGTTCAGCACTCTCTGACCTCTTCTCAGAAAACAACAAATGTAGCTCATTTAATCGCGCCCCATAAAGCCATGTTCCATTGATAGAGGGCTAAAGGCAGAATAATGAATGCAGCTTTATAGACCTTATTAATTTAATTCAGAGTGGCCCGTGGCTTGTCTCAGATAATTTTGGCCCAGAGGTCAATTATTTAATTACAACATTTTTTCGCGCATGACGGGAAAAGCCCGTATCCATTTGCAATAAACAAATAAAAGAATGATATTTTGAGGATAAAGCCCATGCAGAGTTCCAACTGCCTTCTGTGAGTTGTGAAGCACTGGCTGTTTCAGTGCAGGTGACTGTTGTCACGGTGACCTGAGGCGATGTAACCGCATCGCTACACACGACTCTCCGCTCGAAGATCAAAGGCCAAGCTTGTCCTACATCAACTTACATCAACGTCCACTCTTTCTCCCCCTTCTTCCTCCCTTCATATCGCCTCCTTTAACATATGCATGAGACCACAGAATTTATTTTTTTCATTCATCCATGGGTTTAATAATAGACTTTAAAATGATATAGGCCTAATTTATTTCCTCTGTTTTGTATTTACGATGGTCAAACCACAGTGATAGCCTAATTCTTAAGACATCAAGGACGATAAAATAGCTCTGAGATTTTTATTTTAATGGATTTATTTGTCGAATGACACCGTTTCCGCTTAATCTTATTGTAGCTATACAAAAGTCCTGAAAAACTAAATAAAATCTATAGCCTATAAACTGTATCTAATACATGTAAGTCTTTTAATGTAATTACATAATTATTATTATCATTATTATTGCAACAACAATAGCCTAATAATTATCATTAATAAAATCATAAAATAATAATAGCCGACAGTTGTTCCCTGCAGAGCAATACCACTAAAAGAAAGAAAAAAAGACAAGAAACGTTAGAAAGATTCTCAAAAGTCTTATATTATCAGAATGAATGCTGTCCCTTAATTTACAATTGCTGTAACAAACCTGTTTTAGAAACTAATTTGCAAGGCATAATTTATTAGATAAATTGCTCTGTAACTAAAAAGTTCATGCTTGGAAATATATGTAGACCCATGCAAATGTAAAATAATAATAGTAATAATAATAATAATAATAATAAAGCAATGCATTTTTTTTTATTAAAACACAATTCTAAAGAGTTTTGTTGTCTGAAATTCTGACTGCTAATATTTCGATTGGCAGCACTGCACCGATCATGCAGTGTTAACGTGATAGGATTACAAAATGTGATGTTTCAGGCTCCTTCTTGGTTTAATTAATAAAGTAGGCTAATTAAAGCGCGGAGAGTTTTTGGTAAGGGGGATTTTGGTTGTTGCCCTGCTGGAAGCGGAAATAATCGCTTTTGACCGAGACGCGAGAGTCAAGGAGGACAATTAAAATAAAAAGTAAACAAATACACAGAGAAAATCAACAACATTAATGACGTCTCTGTTTTTATTCAACTCATTTGGTCTGTGATTGGTGTTATAGCAGTCCAATAATCCAATGCTTTTCACCGCAAGCTCCCATAATCAAAAAGTGTCGTTTCAGTAAACATTTAAAAACAAAAACAACCGAAGAAATTCAGACCGAAACACACTTTACGTGTTTTTTAATATCCCGCTCTTTGTTTCCTCAAATATGCTACAATGTTTTCAACACTGTCATCAAAAAATAAAAATAAAAAATAAAAATAAAAATAGATCAAATTACATATTTACTGAAATATTTTAAAATCTTTTTTACCAGTTTGAAGGAGATTGCCTTTTGGATCCACCTATTATTCGTGAGACTATTCTAAGACATTTTTTGGTAAGCAATTACTTTACATATTAGGCCAACTTAATTGACATCTTATCTACCAAAAACCTGACATTTGGAATTTGCTCGGTACCTCATAAAGAAAAGCTTTTGTTGCAGAGCTGTCAAATCTGTGAAAGCACTATAAAGCACTATTAAACAAATTAAACGTGCTAATATGCACTTCCCCCCCCCATATTTAAAAAGCATTGATAGTTTGAAATGCAAAGAACATTGATGTGGGATCTTTTTTTATTGTCCTATTAGAGTATTATTATTAAACATGGATATAGCCTATGTGTTAATAACTTATGGAGAAGTGATTGTCAGAGAAACAGAATCCTCATACTGAAAATCTGTTTAAATCAAGAAGTTTTCTTATTCGGCAACATGTTTGGTGTTATGCCAAAATCTGTACCAAATTGGAAATTATCTAATTGAGTGATTTGATGCATTGTAAGTATTAACCTGCCAACAACTGTGAAAATGTCTCTTGAAGTATGAACCCCAAGCCTCAGCAGGAAATAGTGCCAGTTCTAGACCAGTCAACACTTGGCACAACACCAGACCACACAAAGAGGACATGGGTTTCTTCACTCGATGTTTTGTTCCAGATCATGTGACGTGTAGCGACATGCTGGGGTCAAACTGTGCCTTGATATTCTAAGTGGACCCTCAAAAAGGAAAACAATCAAACAGGCGAATGACATCACCCTTTATAATAAATTGTCAGAATCAAAGGCTCTATATTGCTTGCACAAACAAAAGACACACACAGAGAGAGAGAGAGAGAGAGAGAGAGAGAGAGAGAGAAGGCAAGAGAAAGAACCTTATTTGAAAAAAAAAAACCTTATTTATTATTTACATTTGTTATTAACCCATTATTTAGTGTACAATCTGGTACACTTTACGTATAACGTTCATATGATTGTTTTTATTAGGAATTCCCCATATAGATTGGTTCCTACACAGAAATAAAGCTATTATGTTTATATATATAGCATCCAAATAGACTTATAACTTTCAATGCCATGATAATTGTATGCTCAAATATTGATCATAGCACAGTATGGGGCAATGTTACACTTGAATAACACACTGAAGGTGCAGACTGGAGACATCAGCGATATAAACGCAGGGGTAGGTGAAGGTGGCCATTTGGCTTCATTTCCCAAATGAAAATCTTTCTCATGCAGAACAGCCATGTGAAATCAGATATTGGAATGGGAAAGCCTGCATCCTCGCTTGTGACTCCATCTTCAACACCCGACTGGTTTGAATTTGTGGAGATTAACAGATGAACAAGCGCTTCCCTTTTCCTTTTAAAACAATAATAGTAATAACGATCAACAAATACGTCCAATATGGCAAGAGCAGCCAGGCATTCCGTTCTCCAGCTGCAATCCCTATTTCTGCAGCTTTCTCCCAAAATATGGCATATGTGGTGGGCTTTTGGCTTCATTTAGGAAATGTAACCTTTTGAAAGAAAACAATCCACTGCTTTGATGGCCTTTTCTGACACTGACACGCATGGAGACGTCTTCAGAATCAGATGGCATTCACACCATGATTCCCACATCAGCGAGCTCTGTTCATGTCATAGGCTCTGAGATGATAAAGGTATAGCCTGTGATTTCATAAAAATAGAAAGAAAGAAAGAAAGAAAGAAGGAAAGAAAGAAAGAAAAGCAAGCAAGAAAGAAGGAAAGAACAAAAATGTGTGATTTATATTCAGATATGTTTGTGACAGATATGCTGCCTGTTAAGATATGTAAATTCTGGACCTCAGAAGTGGCCAAACATTGCAACTGATAAAAGGACATTTTGCATGTTATTTCTATCACAGCAATAAAGATAGCAAGAAGTTCACATCTCAAGTAAAAAGCCAACATCTTGAAATGCAGCTCTTTGATAACTGTTAGCTACAAATGAAATCGTCTTAAATATATAGGCTAGGCCAACATGTTAAAAATAAAAAAAAAATAATAATAAAAAAATTATTTATATATATATATATACATGTATTGTATAACATGGGCCTACATGGATACACATATATGTGTTTTGTATTTATTTATTTATTTTTTGTAGCCACCTTATGAGGCAATGCTTTAGGCAATCATTTGGTGTGTGTTTTTTTTTTGTGTGTTATTATTTTCTGCTTTCTGACCAACACCAAATCAAACTAATAATAATAATAATAATTATTATTATTATTATTACTCATTAACGGCAACCTCTTCACAATGACACTATATTTATCTGAACAAGGTGTAAAAAAAAGGAAAAAAGAAAAAAATGCTTAGGCCTTCGTTTACTACATTTCAGGGTCCGGTGTTTAATGGCTTCCTTGTGTTTCTTGTAACTGTAAGTACAAATTCCTACAAACAGCTCAAAGATTTCCAAACCCTCTCCCATTCACACTATGAACAAGCATGGTAACAGTTAAAACAGTCCCTATACTCAACCATACTAACCTTCAGTGTGTGCGCTAAAAGTAGTGCATTTATTTTCCCAGGGATGAAGAATAGTTGGCCAACCATTAAATTTCCTTCGGAGTCCGGAAGTGAGTGTCACCACGTTCAAATCGGAACTTGTAAACAGGTCAGATTTTTCTTCAGCCTGGTAGAAAACTCTTTGAAACGTGTCATTTTGTGTAGTTAAGGTTACAGATGTTTTAAAACACTTTCGTGACCGTTTATTAGTAATACATCCACAACCGACATCCATGTGTACGTGAACACACGTGGGTCATTGAGTAGCACTTAATAGCACTGAAGCTAACACATGTTCATAAAATATGTTGCCTAATGTTGCATTCAACGATATAAGGCTGTTAGATGGCAAGTTTTTTTTAATGTAGTCTTTGCTTTTATATATATATTATATATGTATATATTTATTATTGTGAACCATTCCTATTTTTACTGAATTATTCAGTCTTCCAGTTTGCAAACTGTCCATAGCTTGTGTTCTGTGTTGTTGTTCATGCATTCAATCTGCGGTGTTCGTGATGTTTGGAATCGTTTTAATGGATTTGACCAGAAATCTCTCAAACATGTTAAATTGAAACAAATCCACTCGTGCTTTTTGACAAGTGAGACATAGAGAGGATAACAAAACAGAATTGAATATGATGCATGGATCTGGCATAATTGCTATTGTACAGAAGACAAAGCAGTAAACTGACAGTTTGTTAAAAACTAAACAGTAGCTGTGCTTTGTGTTTACATCATTGCACTTTGTGTTATGGAAACAGATTGTCTTCGCATGGCTTTCACTTTGAATAAAAAATGTTTGACTTAAGTGTCTATCAATTTATCCATACCAAGTTTACTCATTTAACATCGAATATTTTTTTTTTCAAAATAACGTTAGCCTTATTTGTTGTGCTCTTAAAAGGGCTGAAGTGAAGTTCACCATTTAAGCAATGTATAATGTACTAATCTATACAACAGCAATTGAGTAATTCTCAGTTGTCTCACACAGCATACGTATTTTAATTTAAGTTTTAATAATCAGAATCATCTTGATAACACTATCAAGACATCGTTGATTTTATTATTCTTGTGAATTCAGGTATTTTAAATAAAGTACTGTGCAGAAGTCTTAGGCACACTAGTATTTTTGCCTCAAAGAAATGGTTTTAAGCCAGTTATTTATATATTTTGTTGTAGTGTCTCTGTAGGAAATAATCAGTTTACATTTCCAGACATTAATTGTGCCATTAATTGTAATAATCCAGTGAATTTTTTTGAATGCACAAGGATTCTGACAACAGCCAATGCTCCACACGGAGGTCGGATCTCACCATCATCAAATGCATCTGAAATTATATGAAGAAACAGAAAAAAACAGAGACTAAGACCAGAAGAACTGTGGAAAATGCTAGTGTGCCTAAGACTTCTGCACAGTACTGTATGTCACAACAAAGGTATCTAGCAGGCTTGAGTTCTGATAGTAATAAAAGAATCAGCTAGAACATAGGGAAAATTATTATGGTTTCTTTTTCTGTTATTATTGCGAATTAAAAACCTTATACATTAATCTAGTTTGTATTGTAAAGTAAGAATGTTTTTAAAAAATAATATAAAATATTTATTTATTTTTGTGGTGGGGCTTGTGCAGATATTGGCAGAATGATGTACTGAATAAAGCAATCTTTATGGGTATTGAATGATGACTCATGATATATGATTTTCTGTTTAGGGATCACCTTGAGATGTTCTCAGGGTATCAGGAGCGGGAGGACTATGAGGACGAACTGTACCGGGATGAGACAGACTCTGGTTTGTCTGACGCTGACAGCGAGCTGGAGTTCCGGCTCTATTCCCAGCTGCACTACAACGCTGAGATCCAGGAGGACCGTGAGGACTCGAGAGAGGTCCAGTCATCAGTACCACGGACTCAGCCACAGCAGAAGTCCTTGCCTCCTGCTCCACCTGTAGATGTTATTGTGATTGACTCCGGCCCAGATACCATCACAGTGTCAGACAACACAGAGGAAGATGACAGCGTTTGTGCTAACAAAGGTCAATCATCAAAATACTGGAAAAGGAAGTTGCATCCCAATAGCTTACTTTCACCCTGTCCACCACAAGTTCAAACAGGAAGGAGCTCTCCAGACGATATTGTGCTGTTGGATTCTGAATCTGACGAGAGCTCTTCTGAATCTATACCTCCTTTTGTGGAGGATCTGGATTCGGACTCAGACTCAGATGTACTGGAGAACTGGATGATTCTGGGTCAGGAGAAACAAGATGAAGATCAGAGCATCCAACTCAACATCTCCAAATTGGAAAATCCAGGTAAGGATTTTCACTCAAGTTTAAGACAAATACTGAAGCTGTTAAATAAGCTCACCTAAAATGCCCATGTGATCTTTCACTATAAGAATCTAAAGATCTATATTAAAGGCAGGGAAGGCAATTTGTTCCAGAAACATTTTTTTTATGCTGGTTGAAAGTCTCTTCACATCCTGATAGCAATCACTAAGTTAAGTGGTCTAAATGCATTTATATATATATATAAATGCATTTAGATTATTTATTTATTTAATACATACGATTATTTATTTAATACATACGTTTCTCAAATGTATGCGTTTCAATTAGAGCCTGACCGATAAAGAATTTTGAAGGCCTATACCGATATACAAATATTTTTGGGTTTTAAAATCCGATATTCCGATATATCGACCGATATTTTATTTATTTATTTATTTGAAACTGGACATGATAGTCACAAATTTTGTTATGCTTATTTGAATTAAGAGAACTGATGGGGATGTTCTTTTAATTGTTATTCAAGCAATGTATGTATCGTGACCAACTCAACGAGTGTTGCCAACAGGAACGGTGTAGATTCCCCTCTTGTGGACAAACTATATAACTCCAAAACTCATGACATGGTTCAAGCGTGTTTCGTCCGTTTTTATTTTATTTTTTAAAATATTCATTTATCGGCCATTATAACTGCCGTTACCGATAGTTTGGAAAATGCCTAATATCGGCCGATAATATCGGTCTGCCGATATATCGGTCTGGCTCTAGTTTCAATGGCAAAACTCAATGCCAACTCAAATCTGCAGCAGGCATTATATACAAGTAAGAGCTCTGTAAGTTGTCTCTCATGACGCTTTTGTTTGCTCTCTGCTGTATGCGTTCATGTGTTTTGAAGGGGGTGTGGCTTTGGAGACGCTCTGAAGGGAGGGTGGAATCTTATGCTTTCAAAGCTAGCTCGCTATTGCTAGCCTCTCTGAAAATTGTCTACCCTACCTTTAAGCTGTTTGTTTGTTTTAAATGTTTTGATGTAAAAATGTAAACAAACCCTTGTAGACTGCACTTTTAAAGGGATAGTTCACTCTAAATCATGTCGTTCCAAACCTGTATGACTTTCTTTCTTTTGTGGAACACGAAATGTTTTGAGAAATGTTTTTTTTTGTTGTTGTTGTCAGAACGGTTTAGTTACCAACATTCTTCAAAATATAATTGTATTCCTGAGAAGACATAAAATAATACACGTTTGGAAAAACGTGAGGGTAAATGATGACAGCATTCATTTTAAGTGAGTATTTTCAATTGTGTTTGCACTTTTCTTTTCCATGCAATGAATGCCTGCCCTGACTAGGTTTACATGCAGCCAATAACCCATTCAAAACCGGGATATAAGCAAAAACCTGGTCCCGAACGGCCATAAACACCGGCAAAAACCGGGATATGATACCTGGGGTACTCCTTTTCTAACCCGATTTTTTGGTCATGTAAACGCGTATATCGGCATATCCCCATAGTGATTTGTGTTCTGCACAGGTTCTATTCGCAAGGAATCTTGGTCTTTTGAGTAGAGAAACTTCTTGGCGCATACAAAAATCTGCACGCAGTATACCGGAAGTAAACATGGCGAGACCAAGCGAGACACAGCACAGCATACTTTTGGAGCGAGCTCAGTTACATTACCAGCATCAAAGCGCAAACAAAGGCGATCGCTATATGCCCCGAACTATTCATTATCCGCGTGCAGCTGTTGTTGTTGTCTTTGGATACAGGAAGAAGAATCGGACATGACGCATATTGCGTCTTAAGGCCAATTTATACTTCTGCATCGTAGTGTACGGCGTTGGCTACGCACGTAGGCGACGCCGTTGTGAGCATTTATACTTCTGCGTTCAGGTCTTGGTTGCTCTGCAGTACTGCTCCGAAACGCCAGTTGGCGGCGGAGGGTTTTAATGTTCCACTGTTTAGATTGCTCGAGTTGCGGCTAGGTTACTACAAGCCTGAAAGAGAGCGGATCATGTTGGAGTTGGAGCTTATTGAGGTGGAAAAATAGTTAATTTTATTGAAATTACAAAAACTGAAAGGCAGAAATGAGAGAAGACGTCGGAGGAGATGGTACGTGTGGAAATGCGTGAGGTACGTGCAGAAATGCGTAGGAGGAAATGCGATGCTACCAAGCCGACCAATCACCGATCTTGCGGTCCGCGTCGTCGCGACGTGTAGTTACATTTTTGAAGAGGTGCGCGTCAGGCTACGGAGAAGGGTACGCGATATGGGACGCATCTGTGCGTATGCTACGCCGTACCTACCGCGCGCACCCTACGCAGAAGTATAAATTGGCCTTGAAGGTTGTTCGTACGTCTAGACGCCAACCGTGCGTCGCCGTTTACATTGGGATATTGCAATTCCATGTATACAGGAGAAACTCTCTCTGCTCAAGCATGTAAGCGGGTTATTCCTAATGTTTCAGAAACCCGAATAGTGACCTTAACCCGACCATAACCCGAAAATTGTCTGCATGTAAACGTAGTCTATAAGTTAAAAAAATTACCATTTTAGCCCATGTGACTCGTACGCATATAAGCCGTCAAAGCCAATGGTATAAGAATTCATGACAACTCATGTTTGATCAGTTTTATAAATTATTATTATTAATTAAATTAATGTAAAAAATGAATTGTTTGTTAATTCATTAATATCATGTTTTGTGCAAATATGTTTGCCTGAATAGAATCTGCAGACTGTTTGTTAGTATGTTAGTTAGTCTGTATGGATAGGCTGCCTAGAGGGTCAGCGGGCCAGAGCACTTGTGTTAATATAAGCAACGCAAAAATTTGTGTTTATCCCCAAAGCACTCGGCTGTATGTGCATAATCAGCGAATCTGATGTCTCATCTTCATGTATTTATTATAAAGTTACCGTGCCGGTGTACCAATTGAACGACTAGGTGTGTGCGTGAGCACATGCATCCTGCTTTACGTGTGTAAAGTTAATTTGCATGCGTGTGAGAACATGCAGGAAAAGCAATGAGGGAATATTTCTGTGTATGTAGTGGAAAAAACAAACAAAACATAACAAACCTCCTGTCAGAGAGCGTGAGCGAGAGACAGAGACTTTAATCATAGATGAATAAAAATGTCTTTGCAAATCTCTCCAGATCTACACATTAGGTTAACCTGCAGATCTCAGCAAAGCAGCAAACCCCTCTCTCTGTTTCTTTCTTTACCCTCTTCCTTTTTTCCCTGAATGTGCTGTCCTCATTTCCATTCGTGGACTCCTTCCTGTTCCTATTATTCATTTTCTACTCTTTCTCTTTCTCCTTCTCTCTTTCTTTTTTTTTTATCTAGTTCTCCCTTTCAAATACAGAGGATTTCATTGTGCGTTTTCTCTCTCTTTCCCTCCCTTCATCCATCCTTCCTTCTCTTGCTCTCTCTGGCTTATTTGAATGGTGACTGTGGAGGAGTCTGTGGGCTGGTATTTCTGCTCTGTCGGTCATGCCTCTCACACTCATGTGCAGAGGGGGCCTTCTCCTGCCCTGGCCTGCTTTTGTTACCCAGAGAGAGAGATTCAGTGGAGGATGAGAGAGAGAGAGAGGAGGGGGACAGAGGGTGGAGGGAGGAATGGGGTAGCTCTCTGTCTCTCTTTTTCTCCTCTGTGTCTCTGATCTCTGGGGCTTGACCCTGCACTCCAGAACATGTGGGTCACACAAGGGAGCGGAGCTGGGAGGAAGTGGCTGAAGAGGTTGCAGTCTGCATGTTCACTTACACATCTAAAAACCAGAGGTTTCCATTGCCAGTTTAACTGTGGTAGAGAGGGACAAAAGGATGGTGGGAGTGAGGTGGGAGTGTAGGTGAGGGTTGGGACCACATTTTTTGCAAAAAATGTGTGGGTTGATTGGACTTTGCGATTGGAAAACGTAAAGCCTACCATAACAGAGGCATCATAATTTTTTCCCAGGACCCACAAATTCAATTGGCGGCCTTAATATACATCAATATACATCACTACTGTTGAAATTTTTTTTTTAAATGCTTTTGTTTCTTATGCTCACCAAGGCTGCATTTTTTTTCGATCAAAATACTGTAAAAACAGTAATATTGTGAAATATTTTTACAATATGCAATAACTTTTTTCTATTTTGATGTATTATAGGATGTAATTAATCTGTGGCAAAGCTGAATTTTCAACATCATTACAGTCTTTCATATTAGAAATCATTCTAATATGCATTTTTGGTGCTCAAGAAAGATTTTCTATTATCATCAATGTAGAAAACAGTTGTGCTGCTTAATATTTTTCTCGAAACCATGACATTTTTTAATAAGATTCTTTGATGAATAGTTTAAAAGGACAACATTTGAAATTGAAATCTGTTGTAGCAAGCAAGCTTTATAAATGTTGAAAATAAGTATTCATTTCTCAAAACAAATTTCTTCTTTTAGTTTTACTGACCCCAAACTTTTTAACGATAGTGTATACCATATTATAGAATTACAACACTGTTTCTGTAGCTCAAACAGTAACTGGTAAATGTATATCTTGAATGCAATTCAAAAGACGCTTTTAACAAAAACATCTGTCAAATGTATAAATGTACATTCATTGGATTGGATAGTTTGTTATTTGTCATTGTCTTAGGACTACACATGTTGCCAGTTAACAGAAATGTTAGTTCCCCTTTGTGTCATTTTCAACATCTCAACTTAAATACTTCAATAATAAATCCTAAACATTTAAAAATAAAATAAATATTTGAAATCTCAAAATTCAAATATTTGTAAGTGAATTTTCAGTAGTCTTTATTTATTTTGTAGTTTGATTTATGGTTTGGTTGATTTAAACTAAAAATGCAAAATAAATATATATTAAATGTATATATTAGGGCTGTCAAACGATTAATCACAATTAATTGCATCCAAAATAAAAGTTTGTGTTTACTTAAATATATATAAATACACACACATGCATGTATATTTAGGAAAAATATATTATTTATATATATATATATATATATATATATATATTTATAAATG